TTTATTCAGGCTCCTATATTTAGACCTATATATTCAGGCCCATATATTTAGACCTATATATTCAGGCTCCTATATTTAGACCTATATATTCAGGCCCATATATTTAGACCTATATTTTCAGGCCCATACATTTAGACCTATATATTCAGGCTCATATATTTAGACCTATATATTCAGGCTCATATAATTAGACCTATAAATTCAGGCCCATATAATTAGACCTATATATTCAGGCTCATACATTTAGACCTATATATTCAGGCTCATACATTTAGACCTATATATTCAGGCCCATACATTTAGACCTATATATTTAGACCCATAAATTTAGACCTATATATTCAGGCCCATATATTTAGACCTATATATTCAGGCTCCTATATTTAGACCTATATATTCAGGCCCATATAATTAGACCTATATATTCAGGCTCATACATTTAGACCTATATATTCAGGCTCATACATTTAGACCTATATATTCAGGCCCATACATTTAGACCTATATATTTAGACCCATACATTTAGACCTATATATTCAGGCCCATACATTTAGACCTATATATTCAGGCTCCTATATTTAGACCTATATATTCAGGCTCCTATATTTAGACCTATATATTCAGGCCCATATAATTAGACCTATATATTCAGGCTCATACATTTAGACCTATATATTCAGGCTCATACATTTAAACCTATATATTCAGGCCCATACATTTAGACCTATATATTTAGACCCATACATTTAGACCTATATATTTAGACCCATACATTTAGACCTATATATTCAGGCCCATACATTTAGACCTATATATTCAGGCTCCTATATTTAGACCTATATATTCAGGCTCCTATATTTAGACCTATATATTCAGGCCCATATATTTAGACCTATATTTTCAGGCCCATACATTTAGACCTATATATTCAGGCTCATATATTTAGACCTATATATTCAGGCTCATATAATTAGACCTATAAATTCAGGCCCATATAATTAGACCTATATATTCAGGCTCATACATTTAGACCTATATATTCAGGCTCATACATTTAGACCTATATATTCAGGCCCATACATTTAGACCTATATATTTAGACCCATACATTTAGACCTATATATTCAGGCCCATATATTTAGACCTATATATTCAGGCTCCTATATTTAGACCTATATATTCAGGCCCATATAATTAGACCTATATATTCAGGCTCATACATTTAGACCTATATATTCACGCTCATACATTTAGACCTATATATTCAGGCCCATACATTTAGACCTATATATTTAGACCCATACATTTAGACCTATATATTCAGGCCCATACATTTAGACCTATATATTCAGGCTCCTATATTTAGACCTATATATTCAGGCTCCTATATTTAGACCTATATATTCAGGCCCATATAATTAGACCTATATATTCAGGCTCATACATTTAGACCTATATATTCAGGCTCCTATATTTAGACCTATATATTCAGGCTCCTATATTTAGACCTATATATTCAGGCTCATACATTTAGACCTATATATTCAGGCCCATACATTTAGACCTATATATTTAGACCCATACATTTAGACCTATATATTTAGACCCATACATTTAGACCTATATATTCAGGCTCATACATTTAGACCTATATATTCAGGCTCCTATATTTAAACCTATATATTCAGGCTCATACATTTAGACCTATATATTCAGGCTCCTATATTTAGACCTATATATTCAGGCTCCTATATTTAGACCTATATATTCAGGCTCCTATATTTAGACCTATATATTCAGGCTCCTATATTTAGACCTATATATTCAGGCTCATACATTTAGACCTATATATTCAGGCTCCTATATTTAGACCTATATATTCAGGCTCATACATTTAGACCTATATATTCAGGCTCATAAAATTAGACCTATATATTTAGGCCCATAAAATTAGACCTATATATTCAGGCTCATATATTTAGACCTATATATTCAGGCTTCTATATTTAGACCTATATATTCAGGCTCCTATATTTAGACCTATATATTCAGGCCCATATATTTAGACCTATATATTCAGGCCCATATATTTAGACCTATATATTCAGGCTCATACATTTAGACCTATATATTAAGGCTCATATAATTAGACCTATATATTCAGGCCCATATAATTAGACCTATATATTCAGGCTCATACATTTAGACCTATATATTCAGGCTCATATAATTAGACCTATATATTCAGGCTCATATAATTAGACCTATATATTCAGGCTCATACATTTAGATCTATATATTCAGGCCCATACATTTAGACCTATATATTTAGGCTCCTATCATTAGACCTATATATTCAGGCCCATATATTTAGACCTATATATTCAGGCTCCTATATTTAGACCTATATATTCAGGCCCATATATTTAGACCTATATATTCAGGCCCATATATTTAGACCTATATATTCAGGCTCATACATTTAGACCTATATATTCAGGCTCATATAATTAGACCTATATATTCAGGCCCATATATTTAGACCTATATATTCAGGCCCATACATTTAGACCTATATATTCAGGCCCATATATTTAGACCTATATATTCAGGCTCATATATTTAGACCTATATATTCAGGCTCATATATTTAGACCTATATATTCAGGCTCATATATTTAGACCTATATATTCAGGCTCATATATTTAGACCTATATATTCAGGCTCATATAATTAGACCTATATATTCAGGCCCATATATTTAGACCTATATATTCAGGCCCATATAATTAGACCTATATATTCAGGCTCCTATATTTAGACCTATATATTCAGGCTCCTATATTTAGACCTATATATTCAGGCTCATATAATTAGACCTATATATTCAGGCTCATACATTTAGACCTATATATTCAGGCTCATACATTTAGACCTATATATTCAGGCTCATATAATTAGACCTATATATTCAGGCTCATATATTTAGACCTATATATTCAGGCTCATATAATTAGACCTATATATTCAGGCTCATATAATTAGACCTATATATTCAGGCTCCTATATTTAGACCTATATATTCAGGCTCATATATTTAGACCTATATATTCAGGCTCATATATTTAGACCTATATATTCAGGCTCATATATTTAGACCTATATATTCAGGCTCATACATTTAGACCTATATATTCAGGCTCATACATTTAGACCTATATATTCAGGCTCATATATTTAGACCTATATATTCAGGCTCCTATATTTAGACCTATATATTCAGGCTCCTATATTTAGACCTATATATTCAGGCTCCTATATTTAGACCTATATATTCAGGCTCCTATATTTAGACCTATATATTCAGGCTCCTATATTTAGACCTATATATTCAGGCTCCTATATTCTGACCTATATATTCAGGCCCATACATTTAGACCTATATATTCAGGCTCATATATTTAGACCTATATATTCAGGCCCATACATTTAGACCTATATATTCAGGCTCATATATTTAGACCTATATATTCAGGCTCATATATTTAGACCTATATATTCAGGCCCATACATTTAGACCTATATATTCAGGCCCATATATTTAGACCTATATATTCAGGCTCATATATTTAGACCTATATATTCAGGCTCCTATATTTAGACCTATATATTCAGGCTCCTGTATTTAGACCTATATATTCAGGCCCATACATTTAGACCTATATATTCAGGCTCCTATCATTAGACCTATATATTCAGGCCCATATATTTAGACCTATATATTCAGGCTCCTATATTTAGACCTATATATTCAGGCCCATATAATTAGACCTATATATTCAGGCTCATACATTTAGACCTATATATTCAGGCTCATATAATTAGACCTATATATTCAGGCTCATATAATTAGACCTATATATTCAGGCCCATATATTTAGACCTATATATTCAGGCCCATACATTTAGACCTATATATTCAGGCCCATATATTTAGACCTATATATTCAGGCTCATATATTTAGACCTATATATTCAGGCTCATATATTTAGACCTATATATTCAGGCTCATATATTTAGACCTATATATTCAGGCTCATATATTTAGACCTATATATTCAGGCTCATATATTTAGACCTATATATTCAGGCTCATATAATTAGACCTATATATTCAGGCCCATATATTTAGACCTATATATTCAGGCCCATATAATTAGACCTATATATTCAGGCTCCTATATTTAGACCTATATATTCAGGCTCCTATATTTAGACCTATATATACAGGCTCATATAATTAGACCTATATATTCAGGCTCATACATTTAGACCTATATATTCAGGCTCATACATTTAGACCTATATATTCAGGCTCATATAATTAGACCTATATATTCAGGCTCATATATTTAGACCTATATATTCAGGCTCATATAATTAGACCTATATATTCAGGCTCATATAATTAGACCTATATATTCAGGCTCCTATATTTAGACCTATATATTCAGGCTCATATATTTAGACCTATATATTCAGGCTCATATATTTAGACCTATATATTCAGGCTCATATATTTAGACCTATATATTCAGGCTCATACATTTAGACCTATATATTCAGGCTAATACATTTAGACCTATATATTTAGGCTCATATATTTAGACCTATATATTCAGGCTCCTATATTTAGACCTATATATTCAGGCTCCTATATTTAGACCTATATATTCAGGCTCATATAATTAGACCTATATATTCAGGCCCATATAATTAGACCTATATATTCAGGCTCATATAATTAGACCTATATATTCAGGCTTCTATATTTAGACCTATATATTCAGGCTTCTATATTTAGACCTATATATTCAGGCTCATATATTTAGACCTATATATTCAGGCTTCTATATTTAGACCTATATATTCAGGCTTCTATATTTAGACCTATATATTCAGGCTTCTATATTTAGACCTATAGTCTTGTGTCATACCTGAGAGAGAATTTAAAGAAAACACAGAGGACAATTGTGGCAGTGTGGAGGAACATGGCTGGTTTTTTGTGTGGATGTGGCCACACCTCCATCCTCGCTAGAAGTGATGTGTCTACACCAGCCTCGCTAGAAGTGATGTGTCTACACCAGCCTCGCTAGAAGTGATGTGTCTACACCAGCCTCGCTAGAAGTGATGTGTCTACACCAGCCTCGCTAGAAGTGATGTGTCTACACCAGCCTCGCTAGAAGTGATGTGTCTACACCAGCCTCGGTATAATTTCTGTGAAAAAAAAATGAGAAGATAACTTAAGTTTGAAGATTTGCCCAGATATGTACAGTTGTCCACCTTTATTATCTATTTTCGACTGAATTTTAAATCATGCGATCCCACGGGCATTAACAGTGTTTCTTCCAGGCGGAGCCCCCCCCCCCCACTACCCCGAACGAAATGGAATTTATATAGATAATATATACCTTTAACAGTGTCAGCCCCCCCCCGGAAATTTTAGTCCGCCCCCCCCCCCTCCCCCCCCAAAAAAAAATTCCCCCACGGAGAAAAAAGTCTGGAAGAAACACTGGGCATTAAGACCTACATAACAGTGCTAGACTTAGAGTCCTACAGTCCTAGAGTCCTACAGTCCTAGTTGGTGCTGGTGGGTAGCAGTGGTTGGTGCTGTAGTTGGTGCTGTAGTTGGTGCTGGTGGGTAGCAGTGGTTGGTGCTGTAGTTGGTGCTGTAGTTGGTGCTGTAGTTTGTGCTGTGGTTGGTGCTGTAGTTGGTGCTGTGGTTGGTGCTGTAGTTGGTGCTGGTGGGTAGCTGTGGTTGATGCTGTAGTTTGTGCTGTGGTTGGTGCTGGTGGGTAGCTGTAGTTGGTGCTGTAGTTGGTGCTGTAGTTGGTGCTGTAGTTGGTGCTGTAGTTTGTGCTGTGGTTGGTGCTGGTGGGTAGCTGTAGTTGGTGCTGGTGGGTAGCTGTAGTTGGTGCTGTAGTTGGTGCTGTAGTTGGTGCTGTGGTTGGTGCTGCAGTTGGTGCTGTCGTTGTTGCTGTAGTTTGTGCTGTGGTTGGTGCTGGTGGGTAGCTGTAGTTGGTGCTGTAGTTGGTGCTGTAGTTGGTGCTGTGGTTGGTGCTGGTGGGTAGCTGTAGCTGGTGCTGGTGGGTAGCTGTAGTTGGTGCTGTAGTTGGTGCTGTAGTTGGTGCTGTGGTTGGTGCTGGTGGGTAGCTGTAGTTGGTGCTGTAGTTGGTGCTGTGGTTGGTGCTGGTGGGTAGCTGTAGCTGGTGCTGGTGGGTAGCTGTAGTTGGTGCTGTAGTTGGTGCTGTAGTTGGTGCTGTGGTTGGTGCTGGTGGGTAGCTGTAGTTGATGCTGTAGTTTGTGCTGTAGTTGGTGCTGGTGGGTAGCTGTAGTTGGTGCTGTAGTTGATGCTGTGGTTGGTGCTGGTGGGTAGCTGTAGTTGGTGCTGTAGTTGGTGCTGTAGTTGGTGCTGTGGTTGGTGCTGTAGTTGGTGCTGTAGTTGGTGCTGTAGTTGGTGCTGTAGTTGGTGCTGTAGTTGGTGCTGTAGTTGGTGCTGTGGTTGGTGCTGTGGTTGGTGCTATGGTTGGTGCTGTGGTTGGTGCTGTAGTTGGTGCTGTAGTTGGTGCTGCAGTTGGTGCTGTAGTTGATGCTGTAGTTGGTGCTGGTGGGTAGCTGTAGTTGGTGCTGGTGGGTAGCTGTAGTTGGTGCTGTGGTTGGTGCTGTAGTTGGTGCTGTAGTTGGTGCTGTAGTTGGTGCTGTAGTTGGTGCTGTGGTTGGTGCTGTGGTTGGTGCTGTGGTTGGTGCTGTAGTTGGTGCTGTGGTTGGTGCTTTGGTTGGTGCTGTAGTTGGTGCTGTAGTTGGTGCTGGTGGGTAGCTGTAGTTGGTGCTGTAGTTGGTGCTGTAGTTGGTGCTGTGGTTGGTGCTGTGGTTGGTGCTGTAGTTGGTGCTGTAGTTGGTGCTGTGGTTGGTGCTGTGGTTGGTGCTGTAGTTGGTGCTGTGGTTGGTGCTGTGGTTGGTGCTGTAGTTGGTGCTGTGGTTGGTGCTGGTGGGTAGCTGTAGTTGGTGCTGTGTTTGGTGCTATGGTTGGTGCTGTGGTTGGTGCTGTAGTTGGTGCTGTGGTTGGTGCTGTAGTTGGTGCTGTAGTTGATGCTGTGGTTGGTGCTGGTGGGTAGCTGTAGTTGGTGCTGTGGTTGGTGCTGTAGTTGGTGCTGTAGTTGGAGCTGATGGATAGCTGTAGTTGGTGCTTTTGTTGGTGCTGTGGTTGGTGCTGGTGGGTAGCTGTAGTTGGTGCTGCAGTTGGTGCTGTGGTTGATGCTGTAGTTGGAACTGATGGATAGCTGTAGTTGGTGCTGTAGTTGGTGCTGTGGTTGGTGCTGGTGGGTAGCTGTAGTTGGTGCTGTGGCTGGTGCTGTAGTTGGTGCTGTAGTTGGTGCTGTAGTTGGTGCTGTGGTTGGTGCTGGTGGGTAGCTGTAGTTGGTGCTGTAGTTGGTGCTGTGGTTGGTGCTGGTGGGTAGCTGTAGTTGGTGCTGTAGTTGGTGCTGTAGTTGGTGCTGTAGTTGGTGCTGTAGTTGGTGCTGTAGTTGGTGCTGTAGTTGGTGCTGTAGTTGGTGCTGTGGTTGGTGCTGTAGTTGGAGCTGATGGATAGCTGTAGTTGGTGCTGTAGTTGGTGCTGTGGTTGGTGCTATGGTTGGTGCTGGTGGGTAGCTGTAGTTGGTGCTGTAGTTGGTGCTGTAGTTGGTGCTGTAGTTGGTGCTGTGGTTGGTGCTGGTGGGTAGCTGTAGTTGGTGCAGTAGTTGGTGCTGTAGTTGGTGCTGTGGTTGGTGCTGTAGTTGGAGCTGATGGATAGCTGTAGTTGGTGCTGTAGTTGGTGCTGTAGTTGGTGCTGTAGTTGGTGCTGTGGTTGGTGCTATGGTTGGTGCTGTGGTTGGTGCTGTAGTTGGTGCTGTAGTTGATGCTGTGGTTGGTGCTGGTGGGTAGCTGTAGTTGGTGCTGGTGGGTAGCTGTAGTTGGTGCTGTAGTTGGTGCTGTAGTTGGTGCTGTAGTTGGTGCTGTAGTTGATGCTGTGGTTGGTGCTGGTGGGTAGCTGTAGTTGGTGCTGTAGTTGGTGCTGTAGTTGGTGCTGTAGTTGGTGCTGTAGTTGGTGCTGTAGTTGGTGCTGTAGTTGGTGCTGTAGTTGGTGCTGTAGTTGGTGCTGTAGTTGATGCTGTGGTTGGTGCTGGTGGGTAGCTGTAGTTGGTGCTGTAGTTGGTGCTGTAGTTGGTGCTGTAGTTGGTGCTGTAGTTGGTGCTGTAGTTGGTGCTGTAGTTGGTGCTGTAGTTGGTGCTGTAGTTGGTGCTGTAGTTGGTGCTGTAGTTGGTGCTGTAGTTGGTGCTGTAGTTGGTGCTGTAGTTGGTGCTGTAGTTGGTGCTGTAGTTGGTGCTGTAGTTGGTGCTGTGGTTGGTGCTGTAGTTGGTGCTGTAGTTGGTGCTGTGGTTGGTGCTGTAGTTGGTGCTGTAGTTGATGCTGTGGTTGGTGCTGGTGGGTAGCTGTAGTTGGTGCTGGTGGGTAGCTGTAGTTGGTGCTGTAGTTGGTGCTGTAGTTGGTGCTGTAGTTAGTGCTGTAGTTGGTGCTGTAGTTGATGCTGTGGTTGGTGCTGGTGGGTAGCTGTAGTTGGTGCTGGTGGGTAGCTGTAGTTGGTGCTGTAGTTGGTGCTGTAGTTAGTGCTGTAGTTGGTACTGTAGTTGATGCTGTGGTTGGTGCTGGTGGGTAGCTGTAGTTGGTGCTGTAGTTGGTGCTGTAGTTGGTGCTGTAGTTGGTGCTGTAGTTGGTGCTGTAGTTGGTGCTGTAGTTGGTGCTGTAGTTGATGCTGTGGTTGGTGCTGGTGGGTAGCTGTAGTTGGTGCTGTAGTTGGTGCTGTAGTTGGTGCTGTAGTTGGTGCTGTAGTTGGTGCTGTAGTTGGTGCTGTAGTTGGTGCTGTAGTTGGTGCTGTAGTTGGTGCTGTGGTTGGTGCTGTGGTTGGTGCTGTAGTTGGAGCTGTAGTTGGTGCTGTAGTTGGTGCTTTTGTTGGTGCTGTGGTTGGTGCTGGTGGGTAGCTTTAGTTGGTGCTGTAGTTGGTGCTGTAGTTGGTGCTGTAGTTGGTGCTGTAGTTGGTGCTGTAGTTGGTGCTGTAGTTGGTGCTGTAGTTGGTGCTGTAGTTGGTGCTTTTGTTGGTGCTGTGGTTGGTGCTGGTGGGTAGCTTTAGTTGGTGCTGTAGTTGGTGCTGTAGTTGGTGCTGTAGTTGGTGCTGTAGTTGGAGCTGATGGATAGCTGTAGTTGGTGCTGTAGTTGGTGCTGTGGTTGGTGCTGCAGTTGGTGCTTTTGTTGGTGCTGTGGTTGGTGCTGGTGGGTAGCTGTAGTTGGTGCTGTAGTTGGTGCTGTAGTTGGTGCTGTGGTTGGTGCTGGTGGGTAGCTGTAGTTGGTGCTGTAGTTGGTGCTGTAGTTGGTGCTGTAGTTGGTGCTGTAGTTGGTGCTGTAGTTGGTGCTGTAGTTGGTGCTGTAGTTGGTGCTGTAGTTGGTGCTGTAGTTGGTGCTGTAGTTGGTGCTGTAGTTGGTGCTGTAGTTGGTGCTGTAGTTGGTGCTGTGGTTGGTGCTGTAGTTGGAGCTGATGGATAGCTGTAGTTGGTGCTGTAGTTGGTGCTGTAGTTGGTGCTGTAGTTGGTGCTGTAGTTGGTGCTGTAGTTGGTGCTGTAGTTGGTGCTGTGGTTGGTGCTATGGTTGGTGCTGTGGTTGGTGCTGTAGTTGGTGCTGTAGTTGATGCTGTGGTTGGTGCTGGTGGGTAGCTGTAGTTGGTGCTGGTGGGTAGCTGTAGTTGGTGCTGTAGTTGGTGCTGTAGTTGGTGCTGTAGTTGGTGCTGTAGTTGATGCTGTGGTTGGTGCTGGTGGGTAGCTGTAGTTGGTGCTGTAGTTGGTGCTGTAGTTGGTGCTGTAGTTGGTGCTGTAGTTGGTGCTGTAGTTGGTGCTGTGGTTGGTGCTGTGGTTGGTGCTGTAGTTGGTGCTGTGGTTGGTGCTGTAGTTGGTGCTGTAGTTGGTGCTGTGGTTGGTGCTGGTGGGTAGCTTTAGTTGGTGCTGTAGTTGGTGCTGTAGTTGGTGCTGTAGTTGGTGCTGTAGTTGGTGCTGTAGTTGGAGCTGATGGATAGCTGTAGTTGGTGCTGTAGTTGGTGCTGTGGTTGGTGCTGCAGTTGGTGCTGTGGTTGGTGCTGGTGGGTAGCTGTAGTTGGTGCTGTAGTTGGTGCTGTAGTTGGTGCTGTGGTTGGTGCTGTAGTTGGAGCTGATGGATAGCTGTAGTTGGTGCTGTAGTTGGTGCTGTGGTTGGTGCTGTAGTTGGTGCTGTAGTTGGTGCTGTAGTTGGTGCTTTTGTTGGTGCTGTGGTTGGTGCTGGTGGGTAGCTGTAGTTGGTGCTGTAGTTGGTGCTGTAGTTGGTGCTGCAGTTGGTGCTTTTGTTGGTGCTGTGGTTGGTGCTGGTGGGTAGCTGTAGTTGGTGCTGTAGTTGGTGCTGTAGTTGGTGCTGTAGTTGGTGCTGTAGTTGGTGCTGTAGTTGGTGCTGTAGTTGGTGCTGTAGTTGGTGCTGTAGTTGGTGCTGTAGTTGGTGCTGTAGTTGGTGCTGTGGTTGATGCTGTAGTTGGTGCTGGTGGGTAGTTGTAGTTGGTGCTGTAGTTGGTGCTGTAGTTGGTGCTGTAGTTGGTGCTGTAGTTGGTGCTGTAGTTGGTGCTGTAGTTGGTGCTGTAGTTGGTGCTGTAGTTGGTGCTGGTGGGTAGCTGTAGTTGGTGCTGTAGTTGGTGCTGTAGTTGGTGCTGTAGTTGGTGCTGTAGTTGGTGCTGTGGTTGATGCTGTAGTTGGTGCTGTAGTTGGTGCTGTAGTTGGTGCTGTAGTTGGTGCTGTAGTTGGTGCTGTAGTTGGTGCTGGTGGGTAGCTGTAGTTGGTGCTGTAGTTGGTGCTGTAGTTGGTGCTGTGGTTGGTGCTGGTGGGTAGCTGTAGTTGGTGCTGTAGTTGGTGCTGTAGTTGGTGCTGTAGTTGGTGCTGTAGTTGGTGCTGTAGTTGGTGCTGTAGTTGGTGCTGTAGTTGGTGCTGTAGTTGGTGCTGTAGTTGGTGCTGTAGTTGGTGCTGTAGTTGGTGCTGTGGTTGGTGCTGTAGTTGGAGCTGATGGATAGCTGTAGTTGGTGCTGTAGTTGGTGCTGTAGTTGGTGCTGTAGTTGGTGCTGTAGTTGGTGCTGTAGTTGGTGCTGTAGTTGGTGCTGTGGTTGGTGCTATGGTTGGTGCTGTGGTTGGTGCTGTAGTTGGTGCTGTAGTTGATGCTGTGGTTGGTGCTGGTGGGTAGCTGTAGTTGGTGCTGTAGTTGGTGCTGTAGTTGGTGCTGTAGTTGGTGCTGTAGTTGGTGCTGTAGTTGGTGCTGTGGTTGGTGCTGTGGTTGGTGCTGTAGTTGGTGCTGTGGTTGGTGCTGTAGTTGGTGCTGTAGTTGGTGCTGTGGTTGGTGCTGGTGGGTAGCTTTAGTTGGTGCTGTAGTTAGTGCTGTAGTTGGTGCTGTAGTTGGTGCTGTAGTTGGTGCTGTAGTTGGAGCTGATGGATAGCTGTAGTTGGTGCTGTAGTTGGTGCTGTGGTTGGTGCTGCAGTTGGTGCTGTGGTTGGTGCTGGTGGGTAGCTGTAGTTGGTGCTGTAGTTGGTGCTGTAGTTGGTGCTGTGGTTGGTGCTGTAGTTGGAGCTGATGGATAGCTGTAGTTGGTGCTGTAGTTGGTGCTGTGGTTGGTGCTGCAGTTGGTGCTGTAGTTGGTGCTGTAGTTGGTGCTGTAGTTGGTGCTGTAGTTGGTGCTTTTGTTGGTGCTGTGGTTGGTGCTGGTGGGTAGCTGTAGTTGGTGCTGTAGTTGGTGCTGTAGTTGGTGCTGCAGTTGGTGCTTTTGTTGGTGCTGTGGTTGGTGCTGTGGTTGGTGCTGCAGTTGGTGCTGTGGTTGGTGCTGGTGGGTAGCTGTAGTTGGTGCTGTAGTTGGTGCAGTAATTGGTGCTGTGGTTGGTGCTGTAGTTGGAGCTGATGGATAGCTGTAGTTGGTGCTGTAGTTGGTGCTGTGGTTGGTGCTGCAGTTGGTGCTGTGGTTGGTGCTGGTGGGTAGCTGTAGTTGGTGCTGTAGTTGGTGCTGTAGTTGGTGCTGTGGTTGGTGCTGTAGTTGGAGCTGATGGATAGCTGTAGTTGGTGCTGTAGTTGGTGCTGTGGTAGGTGCTGTAGTTGGTGCTGTAGTTGGTGCTGTAGTTGGTGCTGTAGTTGGTGCTGTAGTTGGTGCTGTAGTTGGTGCTGTAGTTGGTGCTGTAGTTGGTGCTGTAGTTGGTGCTGTAGTTGGTGCTGTAGTTGGTGCTGTGGTTGATGCTGTAGTTGGTGCTGGTGGGTAGCTGTAGTTGGTGCTGTAGTTGGTGCTGTAGTTGGTGCTGTAGTTGGTGCTGTAGTTGGTGCTGTAGTTGGTGCTGTAGTTGGTGCTGTAGTTGGTGCTGTAGTTGGTGCTGTAGTTGGTGCTGTGGTTGGTGCTGATGGGTAGCTGTAGTTGGTGCTGTAGTTGGTGCTGCAGTTGGTGCTTTTGTTGGTGCTGTGGTTGGTGCTGGTGGGTAGCTGTAGTTGGTGCTGTAGTTGGTGCTGTCGTTGGTGCTGTAGTTGGTGCTGTAGTTGGTGCTGTAGTTGGTGCTGTAGTTGGTGCTGTAGTTGGTGCTGTAGTTGGTGCTGTAGTTGGTGCTGTAGTTGGTGCTGTAGTTGGTGCTGTAGTTGGTGCTGTGGTTGATGCTGTAGTTGGTGCTGGTGGGTAGCTGTAGTTGGTGCTGTAGTTGGTGCTGTAGTTGGTGCTGTAGTTGGTGCTGTAGTTGGTGCTGTAGTTGGTGCTGTAGTTGGTGCTGTAGTTGGTGCTGTAGTTGGTGCTGTAGTTGGTGCTGTAGTTGGTGCTGTAGTTGGTGCTGTAGTTGGTGCTGTAGTTGGTGCTGTAGTTGGTGCTGTAGTTGGTGCTGTAGTTGGTGCTGTAGTTGGTGCTGTAGTTGGTGCTGTAGTTGGTGCTGTAGTTGGTGCTGTAGTTGGTGCTGTAGTTGGTGCTTTTGTTGGTGCTGTGGTTGGTGCTGGTGGGTAGCTGTAGTTGGTGCAGTAGTTGGTGCTGTAGTTGGTGCTGTGGTTGGTGCTGTAGTTGGTGCTGTGGTTGGTGCTGGTTTCTGTAGTTATGGTGATGTGTGATATCCACTTATCGATGGCGAAACACGTTATCTGACCCGGTCACCACCGCTCCCAATCCTTTTAAATATGTTCAACTTAAATGCCTACCACATTTATGTTCAACTTAAATGCCTACCACATTTATGTTCAACTTAAATGCCTACCACATTTATGTTTAATTTAAATGCCTACCACATTTATGTTCAATTTAAATGCCTACCACATTTATGTTCAACTTAAATGCCTACCATATTTATGATCAATTTAAATGCCTACCACATTTATGTTCATCTTAAATGCCTACCACATTTATGTTCAATTTAAATGCCTACCACATTTATGATCAATTTAAATGCCTACCACATTTATGTTCAACTTAAACGCCTACCACATTTATGGTCAATTTAAATGCCTACCACATTTATGATCAATTTCAATGCCTACCACATTTATGTTCAATTTAAATGCCTACCACATTTATGTTCAATTTAAATGCCTACCACATTTATGCTCAACTTAAATGCCTACCACATTTATGTTCAACTTAAATGCCTACCACATTTATGTTTAATTTAAACGCCTACCACATTTATGTTCAATTTAAATGCCTACCACATTTATGTTCAACTTAAATGCCTACCATATTTATGATCAATTTAAATGCCTACCACATTTATGTTCAACTTAAATGCCTACCACATTTATGTTCAACTTAAATGCCTACCACATTTATGTTCAACTTAAATGCCTACCACATTTATGATCAATTTAAATGCCTACCACATTTATGTTCAACTTAAATGCCTACCACATTTATGTTCAATTTAAATGCCTACCATATTTATGATCAATTTAAATGCCTACCACATTTATGTTCAACTTAAATGCCTACCACATTTATGTTCAATTTAAATGCCTACCACATTTATGTTCAATTTAAATGCCTACCACATTTATGTTCAATTTAAATGCCTACAACATTTATGTTCAATGCCACATCTGATGCATTCATGTTTAACATAGACAAGTAACAAAAATAAATATTCCATGCACATGTGTGTGTATGATTGTGTGTGTATGTGTGTTTGTGTGCCCTTTCCCTATTTCTCTGTTTCCAAAACATAACCACACCAAACCAGCCCTGAGCGCTCAATGTACGCCTGCGGCCAGCCTGCGGGTTTATGGCGAGGTTTAATGGCGTGTAACTGCTGTCTAAAATGTCAAACAGAATCATGTCAGACATTAAATAACAAGTATCATGTCAGACATTAAATAAGTATCATGTCAGACATTAAATAACAAGTATCATGCCAAACATTAAATAAGTATCATGTCAGACATTAAATAACAAGACTTGCTCGCTAACCATTAATATGAGGAAGGGGGGGGGGTGCAGGTTAGGGTACTCCTTAAAGATTAGACATGGGAAAACACGATTTCTGTTTCTGATACGTCACTATTTCAAAACACACAAAGGACAAAATGTGGTGCTATTAGACTGACATTGTGAGGTCAAGCAAGAACTAATGTGAGAGAGAGGACATTTTGACCAACAAACGAGGACATTTTGACCAACAAACGAGGACATTTTGACCAACAAACGAGGACATTTTGACCAACAAACGAGGACATTTTGACCAACAAACGAGGACAATTTGACCAACAAACGAGGACATTTTGACCAACAAACGAGGACATTTTGACCAACAAACGAGGACATTTTGACCAACAAACGAGGACATTTTGACCAACAAACGAGGACAATTTGACCAACAAACGAGGACATTTTGACCAACAAACGAGGACATTTTGACCAACAAACGAGGACATTTTGACCAACAAACGAGGACATTTTGACCAACAAACGAGGACATTTTCTTACCTTTATACTACTGCGAGTGTGTCTACAGCCATCAGTTACTTTTGTCGACCTTCACCCTGACGGTCCAGTTCACTAATGTTGCGGTCAACAAAAGCCACGTGACGTCACTACACACTTCACTGGTCACGGTGAAAAAACCGACCAGACGAAAGGTCACAGCGGGCAATCAGTTTAGTTGAACCATAAATCCTGATCAGTTTAGTTGAACCATAAATCCTGATCAGTTTAGTTGAACCACAAATCCTGATCAGTTTAGTTGAACCATAAATCCTGATCAGTTTAGTTGAACCATAAATCCTGATCAGTTTAGTTGAACCATAAATCCTGATCAGTTTAGTTGAGCCATAAATCCTGATCAGTTTAGTTGAACCATAAATCCTGATCAGTTTAGTTGAACCATAAATCCTGATCAGTTTAGTTGAGCCATAAATCCTGATCAGTTTAGTTGAACCATAAATCCTGATCAGTTTAGTTGAGCCATAAATCCTGATCAGTTTAGTTGAGCCATAAATCCTGATCAGTTTAGTTGAACCATAAATCCTGATCAGTTTAGTTGAACCATAAATCCTGATCAGTTTAGTTGAACCATAAATCCTGATCAGTTTAGTTGAACCATAAATCCTGATCAGTTTAGTTGAACCATAAATCCTGATCAGTTTAGTTGAACCATAAATCCTGATCAGTTTAGTTGAACCATAAATCCTGATCAGTTTAGTTGAACCATAAATCCTGATCAGTTTAGTTGAACCATAAATCCACAGCCCGAATTTAATCTTAACCCTAGCTCCAGCTGATAGAGATCACGACCAATTTTTTCAACCAAAACCTCTCCGGTCAGAAGACGCTATCTAACAGAATGAAACAGTTAATGACGCGATGTTGAAGCCCTGTGTTAACCTGAGTGCATGAAGAACTGGCAAACTTGAAGCCAGCCACCACTCCCCCACCGCTCGAGTCAACGGGTCGGGGATGGCGGGGTTGTTTACTAACAATCCGGCAGAATGGAGTTGGGCATTTTTTTAACTCACCGCGGTATCGAGTACTTCGTTCTCTGACGTGTACCTACCTTACCATCCTAAATGTTTGACGTGTACCTCCCTTACCATCCTAAATGTTTGATGTGTACCTCCCTTACCATCCTAAATGTTTGACGTGTACCTCCCTTACCATCCTAAATGTTTGATGTGTACCTCCCTTACCATCCTAAATGTTTGACGTGTACCTCCCTTACCATCCTAAATGTTTGATGTGTACCCCCTACCTTACCATCCTAAATGTTTGATGTGCACCTCCTACCTTACCATCCTAAATGTTTGATGTGTACCCCCTACCTTACCATCCTAAATGTTTAATGTGTACCCCCTACCTTACCATCCTAAATGTTTGATGTGTACCTCCTACCTTACCATCCTAAATGTTTGATGTGTACCTCCTACCTTACCATCCTAAATGTTTGATGTGTACCTACCTTACCATCCTAAATGTTTGATGTGTACCCCCTACCTTACCATCCTAAATGTTTGATGTGTACCCCCTACCTTACCATCCTAAATGTTTGATGTGTACCTCCTACCTTACCATCCTAAATGTTTGATGTGTACCTCCTACCTTACCATCCTAAATGTTTGATGTGTACCTCCTACCTTACCATCCTAAATGTTTGATGTGTACCTCCTACCTTACCATCCTAAATGTTTGATGTGTACCTCCTACCTTACCATCCTGAAAGTATCTCAGTGGTGGGGTCTGGCTGGTTGAGGCAAATAAATAACATTGGAATGTTTTGTGATAAGAAACAACGCATTTTGTTTTGAGCCAAAAGTTGGTCAAAGCGGGGTGAGGGCATGAAGGGGACCATGTCCTACAGCCCGAGGACATGTCCTACAGTCAGGGTCCAATGCCCTACAGCCAGGGACCATGTCCTACAGCCAGGGACCATGTCCTACAGCCAGGGACCATGTCCTACAGTCAGGGACCATGTCCTACAGACAGGGACCATGTCCTACAGCCCGAGGACATGTCCTACGGCCAGGGACCATGTCCTACAGCCAGGGACCATGTCCTCCAGTCAGGGACCATGTCCTACAGCCAGGGACCATGTCCTACAGACAGGGACCATGTCCTACAGCCCGAGGACATGTCCTACAGCCAGGGACCATGTCCTACAGTCAGGGACCATGTCCTACAGCCAGGGACCATGTCCTACAGCCAGGGACCTACAGCCAGGGACCATGTCCTACAGCCAGGGACCATGTCCTACAGCCAGGGACCATGTCCTACAGTCACTGTATGAATTTATGAGAGCAGTTCTCTCATGACTTGACACAGATGACGTGTGCCGCCGTCAAGTGGCCTGTAGATGATAGTGTCCTGTAGAGTGGCTGACACAAGTGGATGCTTCAACCTACGCTAAAGATCCCAAGTGCTAATCCCTAACACTCCCTACTCTAAAGATCCCAAGTGCTAACCCCTAACACTCCCTACTCTAAAGATCCCAAGTGCTAACCCCTAACACTCCCTACTCTAAAGATCCCAAGTGCTAATCCCTAACACTCCCTACTCTAAAGATCCCAAGTGCTAATCCCTAACACTCCCTACTCTAAAGATCCCAAGTGCTAACCCCTAACACTCCCTACTCTAAAGATCCTAAGTGCTAACCCCTAACACTCCCTACTCTAAAGATCCCAAGTGCTAACACTCCCTACTCTAAAGATCCCAAGTGCTAATCCCTAACACTCCCTACTCTAAAGATCCCAAGTGCTAACCCCTAACACTCCCTACTCTAAAGATCCCAAGTGCTAATCCCTAACACTCCCTACTCTAAAGATCCCACGTGCTAATCCCTAACACTCCCTACTCTAAAGATCCCAAGTGCTAATCCCTAACACTCCCTACTCTAAAGATCCCAAGTGCTAATCCCTAACACTCCCTACTCTAAAGATCCCAAGTGCTAATCCCTAACACTCCCTACTCTAAAGATCCCAAGTGCTAACCCCTAACACTCCCTACTCTAAAGATCCCAAGTGCTAATCCCTAACACTCCCTACTCTAAAGATCCCAAGTGCTAATCCCTAACACTCCCTACTCTAAAGATCCCAAGTGCTAATCCCTAACACTCCCTACTCTAAAGATCCCAAGTGCTAACCCCTAACTATCAGAGGCATGGCTAGGAGAGGGCAGTGGGGTGGCCGCCAGGGGGGGCCTACCATGTGGAGGGGGTGGCCGCCAGGGGGGCCTACCAAGTGGAGGGGGTGGACGCCAGGGGCGCCTACCATGTGGAGGGGGTGGCCGCCAGGGGCGCCTACCATGTGGAGGGGGTGGACGCCAGGGGCGCCTACCATGTGGAAGGGGTGGACGCCGCCGCCAAACGGTATAGATTTGAAAAAAATGTAAACGCTCATTCTGTGTTGATGAATTATTAAGAGAATAGACTGGTACTTGGCTTTACGGAGCTATTTATAAGTTTTCTACGTCATGTGTGTGACACTAAAATAAACATTGGTAAGGGACAGTGACCAAATGGTGGGAGGGAACATAACTAGATATAAATACCCCATATAACAAAATGTTACTCTACCCTACCCCATATAGAGTGATAACAAACGGAAACACCATCCCTTTCTATTTTCGTGTTATATAATATTCCACGGTTACACCATTTAACATTTAAAAAAACAAGTATCGATACCAGTATCGTGTACCAGACGGCCTGACAAAACGCGCGCACTCCTGCACGAGCAGACGAGGAGTTGGTTGAATCACTCAATCAACCTTAGTTCACGGAGCGGTTGAAATTTTTGAGGCGCAAACAATCGTAATTTAAATTGTTTTTTTAGGGGGGGGGTGTTAGACTTTCTTTGGGGGAACGCCCCTCCCCCCCCCCCCCTGAAGAAACTCTGAATGGAAAAATACAGGTTGAACTTAACTTTAAGCGCTCTGAGTTTGCAAGGACTAAAAAGTTTTCAATGCTCGCGGATACACATCTAGATAGTTCTACATTTAATGACCATCCTCATCTAGATAGTTATGTTAATGGCCCTCCGCATCTAGATAGTTCTATTGACTGGGCCCAGTGGCGTAGCACCCCCCCCCCCCCATCAAACTTTCGATTTGCACCTCTTAAAAGACTATTTAACACTCGGATTAATCTCTTAAGTGGAATTATCAATTTTCTCTATATATTTTGCTATTTTTTTGCCTTGGTTTCACCCCCCCCCCTAAATGGTGTCACCCGGTGCGGTCCGCACCTCCCGCCCCCCTCTACGCCTCTGACTGGGTCAACACACCTTTACATAATATCCAAACTATGATTCACCCAAACTTTGAGTGACCTATCATTACATTTTATCAGGGGCGTAGCGAGGGGGGTGCGGACCGCACCGGGTGACACCATTTAGGGGGGTGACACCAAGGCAAAAAATAGAAAAATATATAGAGAAAAACTCGAGGGGGGGGGTGCAAATCGAAAGTTTGAGGGGGGTGCAAATCGAAAACTTAAGGAGGGGGGGGGGGTGCAAATCGAAAGTTTGAGGGGGGGGGGGGTGCAAATCGAAAATTTGAAAGTTTGTCCCTAGGAAAGGTCTCTATGTCTCGGGGGGGGGGGGGGTGACACCATTAAGTGCCGCACCGGGTGACACCCGACCTCGCTACGCCACTGCATTTTATATATTATAATTTCCTTTCGGGGAGGGAGAGAGAGGGAAGTTATAAACTTATACCTGCAAGCTACTCTGGTGCCAATATCCAAGGAGATTTGTTACCGGCTGGCAATGGAGGCGAGCGAGTTGACGAGATTCCTTCCATAGTATTGTTGACATGGAATAAAAACGTGCTTTTTAGATTTAGACCGTAAAAAAAAATAAAAAATAAAAACTTAAGCCTAAAATTAATTTAGAAATTTTATATTTTTAGAATAAATGCTATAAAAGTTGCAAATCCAGAGAACTTGAAAATAATTTGTTGAGTTTAAGGCTACATTTCTATTTATTTTCATCAAGCCTAAGTTATAACCGGATGTTTCACTTTCGTAAGACAAATATTGATTGGCTGTACAGTAACTTAGTGATCGATAACTATTTGTTTACAAAACTTTGCAGATCAAGTTTTTAAATTACAATGCAAATTTAAAACCCCATGACCTAGTTTTCTATTTTTAGCTTACAATGTGTACAATAAAATCAATGGCGGCCTATCCAATAGCAGGATGCCATTGTTTATGTCGCCATTACACGTGAAAACCAAATTGTTTTTGCTTTTTTTTTAATTTTTATTTAGTTACCGAAAATATTATAAACATCAAATACATCCAATCTTTAGTAAAGTCCGAAAAAAACCAGACAGACAGGATTTTATAACCATATTAATTGTAACTACGCCGTGCCTGATTTTTAAACTAATTTATACACCTCTCAAATACCTTTGAGAGTTTTCTCGCTCGTGTCCATTGTCAGCGTGTTACTACTTAGTAAAGGGGGACAACCAAAGAAATAACAAACACAGATCAAACCAAGAAGAGTTACAACTTCATTACAAGGGAAAGGGAAACTGTTTTTCAGTTTTAAAAACTTGTTTTTTTTTTCTTGTTTGTCATACTCTGCTGTTATGAAGCTATTAAAAGTAGGTTTTAAGCCTGATTTTCAAAATTTGCTTTTTTATGTAAAACTTTTAGAAAGATTTCTGAAATTAAATGTAAAACAAAACAAATACATGCAGTAGGTAAAATGTGCTGAACATTTATTTCTAAGGATTTGAAAGATTTTTCAAGCAAGAAAATAGATTTTTCTTCTCAAGCTAGAAAAATCTTGCTCAAGAAGGCATTAAAAACAGCCTGTATTTAAGTAACTGGTGTACAAGTATAAATGTATAAAGAATTCAATTCTTTCAAGAATGACTGACACAAAAAAATTGTCAGTCTTTTCTTTACATAAAGAGTTCCATAAATATGGTACAAGCATTCATCAAATTAAAAACTGATACCCTAAAAAGATAATATTAACATTAGTCATCAGTTAAATGCCTAGTACAGAAGACACTAGTCATGGCTGTAATCAATGTAATTTGATCAATACAAAGATCCACCCAAATGTTTTACTGCTAAACTACTAGTGATGGCTGTAATTAATGTAATTTGATCAATACAAAAATCCACTCAAATGTTTTACTGCTAAACTACTCGTCATGGCTGTAATCAATGTAATTTGATCAATACAAAAATCCACTCAAATGTTTTACTGCTAAACTACTCGTCATGGCTGTAATCAATGTAATTTGATCAATACAAAAATCCACTCAAATGTTTTACTGCTAAACTACTAGTCATGGCTGTAATCAATGTAATTTGATCAATACAAAAATCCACTCAAATGTTTTACTGCTAAACTACTAGTCATGGCTGTAATCAATGTAATTTGATCAATACAAAAATCCACTCAAATGTTTTACTGCTAAACTACTAGTCATGGCTGTAATCAATGTAATTTGATCAATACAAAAATCCACTCAAATGTTTTACTGCTAAACTACTAGTCATGGCTGTAATCAATGTAATTTGATCAATACAAAAATCCACTCAAATGTTTTACTGCTAAACTACTAGTCATGGCTGTAATCAATGTAATTTGATCAATACAAAGATCCACCCAAATGTTTTACTGCTAAACTACTAGTCATGGCTGTAATCAATGTAATTTGATCAATACAAAAATCCACTCAAATGTTTTACTGCTAAACTACTAGTCATGGCTGTAATCAATGTAATTTGATCAATACAAAAATCCACTCAAATGTTTTACTGCTAAACTACTAGTCATGTGAGGTATAGAGTGAGGTAGAGAGTGAGACAGAGAGTGAGGTATAGAGTGAGGTATATACAGATGATAGATCTCGTCAGGTACCTCAACATCCCTCACATGGAATTGGATGATAGATTATATTTTCTTGCCATTTTTTTTAGCTATTGACAGAATAGCAGGGTGTCTAAAATAACGTAACATACTTCAACTCCCGACACCTGGTCTCTGACTCTATCTTTCTACACCATGAATTATATCCCCATTAGTTAAGGTTCAACAGCACAAAAATAATTTATTACCAAATACTATTCATAATTTGGTGGGTTAAGTTAAAAAGATAAGGTATAAGGATCAATTTTTACATTTTTAAAAATCTACAAAATAACTGCTGACAATCTGCTAAAAAAATGATATCTAAGTCAAGTGTAATATCAAATTTCCTAATCCCTCACTAGAACCCTTGTCACAAAGGTCTGACCCCACACCCACAGCACGACCCCACACCCACAGCACAACCGCTCAGAGAGTTTGCATCATTTATTCTAGATAGATAAACCATGCATACAGTAGCTTGAATAGTTAACTGAGTTTGAAATGTTTTTGATCATTTTGCTAAAACCTTCTTTATTAAGTCATTCCTATTTGCTTAGTAAAATCATAAATTCAATTTTTTTCATATAAATGTTATAAAATTTAAATGTGATGGTCTGTATAAATGTTATAGAGCATTATAAGAAGCATGGTCAACATGTTAATATAACAATAATAATAAGGATATTGAAACAATAGTTAAATAATAAAGATATATCAATATAACAGTTGTAAAAAATTTTTTTTACTTGTACAGTGTATTGCTTTTAAACAATATATCTTATTTTTTTTTTAAATGTTGAAGTGATTTAAAAAAATGCAAATGTATTTATTTGACTTGTACTGGTTGCATTGAATGTTGATATAAAAAGTGTTTGGAATATCCAGAGCTATTTGTAGAGAACAGGGTTAACATAATATTACACAGGACTCAATCAACACCTGCTCTGACTGTTGAAACACCATCAACACCTGCTCTGACTGTTGAAACACCATCAACACCTGCTCTGACTGCTGAAACACCATCAACACCTGCTCTGACTGTTGAAACACCATCAACACCTGCTCTGACTGTTGAAACACCATCAACACCTGCTCTGATTGTTGAAACACCATCAACACCTGTTCTGACTGTTGAAAGCTTCCTGTAAGATAAAATCAGGTACGTGCCCCTCGCCTGAAGCCCCTTGTTCCATGACATCTATGAAGGTTGACTTCTCATCCAGCACATAGTGATACCTGTGGGAGACGGGTTAAACTGGGCTGCTGACATTGATACAGGTGGGAGACAGGTTAAACTGGGCTGCTGACATTGATACAGGTGGGAGACAGGTTAAACTGGGCTGCTGACATTGATACAGGTGGGAGACAGGTTAAACTGGGCTGCTGACATTGATACAGGTGGGAGACAGGTTAAACTGGGCTGCTGACATTGATACAGGTGGGAGACAGGTTAAACTGGGCTGCTGACATTGATACAGGTGGGAGACAGGTTAAACTGGGCTGCTGACATTGATACAGGTGGGAGACAGGTTAAACTGGGCTGCTGACATTGATACAGGTGGGAGATAGGTTAAACTGGGCTGACATTGATACAGGTGAGAGACAGGTTAAACTGGGCTGACATTGATACAGGTGGTAGACAGGTTAAACTGGGCTGCTGACATTGATACAGGTGGGAGACAGGTTAAACTGGGCTGCTGACATTGATACAGGTGGGAGACAGGTTAAACTGGGCTGCTGACATTGATACAGGTGGGAGACAGGTTAAACTGGGCTGCTGACATTGATACAGGTGAGAGACAGGTTAAACTGGGCTGCTGACATTGATACAGGTGGGAGACAGGTTAAACTGGGCTGCTGACATTGATACAGGTGGGAGACAGGTTAAACTGGGCTGCTGACATTGATACAGGTGGGAGACAGGTTAAACTGGGCTGACATTGATACAGGTGAGAGACAGGTTAAACTGGGCTGACATTGATACAGGTGGTAGACAGGTTAAACTGGGCTGCTGACATTGATACAGGTGATAGACAGGTTAAACTGGGCTGCTGACATTGATACAGGTGGGAGACAGGTTAAACTGGGCTGACATTGATACAGGTGAGAGACAGGTTAAACTGGGCTGACATTGATACAGGTGAGAGACAGGTTAAACTGGGCTGACATTGATACAGGTGAGAGACAGGTTAAACTGTGCTGCTGACATTGATACAGGTGAGAGACAGGTTAAACTGTGCTGACATTGATACAGGTGGTAGACAGGTTAAACTGGGCTGCTGACATTGATACAGGTGGGAGACAGGTTAAACTGGGCTGCTGACATTGATACAGGTGGGAGACAGGTTAAACTGGGCTGCTGACATTGATACAGGTGGGAGACAGGTTAAACTGGGCTGCTGACATTGATACAGGTGGGAGACAGGTTAAACTGGGCTGCTGACATTGATACAGGTGAGAGACAGGTTAAACCGGGCTGACATTGATACAGGTGAGAGACAGGTTAAACCGGGCTGACATTGATACAGGTGAGAGACAGGTTAAACTGGGCTGACATTGTATTTAGAAACAGCAAACTTTCTTCTCAGAGCTTGAAGAAGTAGATACCAGATCTTTTTAGATTGCTTGAGCTTACAAATAGAATAAGATTAGCAAACAAACACTTACAATATTTTTCCTTTGCTGTCCACACGCCTGTCAACATTAGTTGTTAAGAGATACAAACTACTATTCTTCAAATCATTCAAAAAGCAGGAGCAAGATTTCTTAGACATTAATGTAATGACATCGCCTGATTTGATCTCATGGGTACCTGAAAAAGAGAAGTTTTCAAGTTTTTGGGAGTCAATCAACAGTCAAATGTTGAGTACTGACCAGCACTGATCTGTCATTGACTCTACCTGTTTTATTGACAGACAAAACCTTTGCTTCAATCTCCATCCAACTCACATGTTTCTTCACCTTTTCTGCATGAAGTTCATAAGCTGAAGCAGAAGATTCATAATTAATGTTGCAATTAAAAATAAGTTTAAAATATTGAACAAATAAAGAAAGAGCAACATAGTCTTCCCAGCCTAATGCGAACATACCAACATGTTGAACCAGCCCAATCTACCAACATGTTGAACCAGCCCAATCTACCAACATGTTGAACCAGCCCAACCTACCAACATGTTGAACCAGCCCAACCTACCAACATGTTGAACCAGCCCAACCTACCAACATGTTGAACCAGCCCAACCTACCAACATGTTGAACCAGCCCAACCTACCAACATTAGCGCTGCACACAAGTTGCTTGATGTGATGCAGGTCGACTGTTTGTACATCATCTGGTTGACACCTGCTGCAGTTACCTGACATACAAATTTTTTTCTTACAGAGTCTTTTATAGAAACAACGTCATTCTCTATTTTCTCTCAATCATTCACACAAAGTCTTTTATAGAAACAACAACGTCTTTCTCTATTTTATCTCAATCATTCACACAAAGTCTTTTATAGAAACAACAACGTCTTTCTCTATTTTATCTCAATCATTCACACAAAGACTTTTATAGAAACAACAACACCTTTCTCTATTTTCTCTCAATCATTCACACAAAGTCTTTTATAGAAACAACAACGTCTTTCTCTATTTTATCTCAATCATTCACACAAAGACTTTTATAGAAACAACAACACCTTTCTCTATTTTCTCTCAATCATTCACACAAAGACTTTTATAGAAACAACAACACCTTTCTCTATTTTCTCTCAATCATTCACACAAAGACTTTTATAGAAACAACAACGTCTTTCTCTATTTTATCTCAATCATTCACACAAAGACTTTTCTCTCAATCATTACTGGAATCTTTTCTCTGATTCCTTCACACACAAAGTCTTTCATCCACTGGTCAAGTGTGAGATGTGTCCAGGTAACTGACCAGAAAAACAGCGACACTCCCCTCTATTAATTTTGGAAGAATCAGCACAGAAAACCTTCAGGCTCTCTTTGTCTTCAGGCAGCTGGTACTCCAGGCTACAGCTAGGCACTAGAGGAGAAATACATGTAGAGGAGAAATACATGTCTCATTTGCTTAACTATATCTGATTGCTTTAGTTTTAATTGGCTGGGCAACTCAGTTATTTTTTGCATAACATTGCACACAACAACACTGATCCCATGCCACCCCCCCCCCCCCCTCCACACACACACTAAGTAACTAAAAATTATTATAAGAAACATAAGAAATTAAATTTACTAATTTCTCTAGCTGAGGTGATCTATTTAAATGTAAAACTTGATTTTTTAAATCAGTCCAATAGCTTGAGAGAAAATTCTAGATCATTTCAACTAGTCCCAACATTCAGATTCACATGTGTACATCCAGCAAATAATTTAGATTTTAATAGGCTTAATTAGGTTAACATTTTTTAAAAAGTTGTTTACTTTAAACAATTATGTGCATAATAGCTTAATAAATAACTTAAATAATTAAATAAACAACTTAAATTTCATGAGTTGATTAGTGAAGAGTACAGTAGGACAGGAGTAACAGAGTAAATGTTGTGGGATGTTGAACCAGAGGATGTAGTAGTAGAACAGGCTAGATGTATCAGAAAAAAGTAGCTTAGAAAAGAAGAATGTAGCTGTATAGGGAAGAATGTTTTGGAATAGAAGATGGTGGTAGAATGGAGTAGAATCAGTGGCGTAGGCAGCGGCAGGTTAGGGGGGGGAGGTTTGTAAAACCCTGTGAAATTTTTTTTTATTGTCATAATACCACTGTTATTTATTTAAATCTATTTCTAAATCAGTATATATGTATAATTGTATATGATTGTTTAGATCAGTCACCTAAAAACTGACGCTATGTTCACTCTGAGTTGGTTATCCCTCCCCTCACCACCAGAAATGGACAGGCTGTAATTGTGTAGAGCAACATTAATGTCACACCTAGGTATACGATGGGTAAACTAATAGACCTAAAGTGACCGGACAGTGGTGAATGAAGTTGAACTCCCCCCCCACCCCCTCCCCCCGAACTGATGTGTTAAGTACATTTGGGAAAACGCGTAATGAGGTACCAATGTACCATGCCGCCAGAATCATAGCTTTTGAAACAGGTAAAACTGTGAATATTGTTTTTGCAATTACAAGAGGTGTGTGAGCAATACAGTGATCTAACATATACTTTATCATTAAGTTAAAAATGATCTTTATAAAGCACAAAAGGCAGTAGCTAATAAAAACATGTATGATCTGAACTGCAAGACCAATATTTTAGTTCTATGTAGGCCAGGGGTCGGCAACCTTTAGAGATGGAAGAGCCAAAAGTTACAATTTACAAAATTTCCCAGTTTTTAAAGAGCCACCAACATTTTTATTTCAATATTATGATCTCTAATTAGGATTTGGTATATATATATATACATATATATATATATATATATACATATATTTATATATATATATATATATATATATATATATATATATATATATATATATATATATATATATAAATTTATGTGTGTGTGAGTCTGTTTTTCTTTTATGCATTACTACACATTTCATCCGATCGCCATGAAACTTTGGGAAGCTGTTAAGAATACTCCTGGAAAGGTTTCTTCGAAAAAGTTTTTCAAATTCGCAGGAGTGGCACCCCGGCAGGGCGCAATTTGATTCTTCTCTATAAACTGTATATAAAAATAAAAGTCATGAAACCTAAAGGAGTTGATTAAAACACTCCAGGGGAGGTTTGTACACATTGTAAATTTCTTATGGGCAGCGCCCGGGTGGTACAGTTTTTTGTCAATACACCTTTAGGCACCCAGATTTCCAGAGCGCCTATGTTAGTACTCGGCATCAGTTAATCGGACGTTCTGCATAGCGGGTAAGTGTTACTACGTGCGGCGTCAAAACGGCTGATGACAAATCGGCCCCGACATAAGAGCCCCGTCAAATTGACCCCGTCAAAAGGGCCAGTGACATATGGACCCTGTCATAAAGGCTCCCGATAAATAGGTTCCCGTCATAGGCTCTCGACAAATAGTCTCTCGTTAGATAGGCTCCCGACAAAAGGGCTCCAGTCAATAAGGCTCCTGACAATTAGGCCCCCGTCATTTAGTTTTTCCACAAAACAGCCCTCGTCATTACGACTCCCGACAAATAGGCCCCCGTCATTTTGGCTCACGACAAAAAGGCTCCTGTCAATTTGGCTCCAGACAAAAGGACCACTGACAATACCGTTTCTGTAGAGACTAAGTCTCCCGGCAAAGCGGTCTCATTGAATATGACACTTGCCAGTGGGAACCCTTTATCAATACTCTATAGAGTTAGCTTATCCAACACTTTTAAGTAATACAACGTTTGCATCTCTTGTTCGGCACGCCTTATTTTTATATTAGTTTATCTAGTATAAGAAATAGTATGTTTTAATTTAAGGGTCATATATCTATGACTTCCATATATCCATGACTTGAGTCTGTTATAGGCTGTTCCAACTCAGTGTGTGGGGAGAAGGGTCCACGCTGTACCTGCCAACCTGCAGTATGCTTGTAGGTTATCAAAACAAAATGCCGTTATCCTGTAAACATCATGTATTTCATAAATTTTCACTTCTGTGCTTGCTGTTAAGCAACAGATGTTTACTGTTGTAAATTAAACTTTATCAAAATTTTAGAATTGGTGGAATTTAGCTGTTAAGGGCTTGATTTGTTTGTGAATTGATGCTTTTCATAAAAAAGCAATTTCATTCAGGCATTTAAAAGAGGTTATAGTACTAGTGGAGGTAGGACAAAATGGTTACTTTTATGCCAATATTGGTCATACAATTCATTTGTCTGTAGCCAATATGTTGGGGAACCATTTTGTCGATAGCCAATATGTCGGGAGCCCATATGTCATGAGCCCATTTGTCGGGAGCCCATTTGTCCTGAGCCTATTTGTCGAGAGCCAATATGTCGGGAGTCTATTTTTCGGGTGCCTAAATGTCAGGAGCCCATTTGTCAGGAGCCTATATGTCGTGAGTTAATATAACGGGAGCCCATTTGACGGGGCTATTTTGACTGGGTCGTTTTGTCGGGGGTCGATTTGACGGGGTCATATTAACGGGGCCGTTTTGACGGGGCAGATTTGTCCCGGGCCATTCTGACAGGGCACCGTGTTACTACTATATTCAGCAGCAAAACTGCAACAGGCGCGACCCGAAGCTTGTTTTTAAAATAGGCTATACACTATAGACACGATGGGCAACAATACGTTCATTATAAAAAGCGCGATAGGCTATGAATACAATAGGTTGCTATAGTGGCACACTAAATTAAATCCGGAGCGTACTCCTCCGGCGTCTCTGCAGGGTGCGATTTGGCACCCAGTGCTATCCCGCGAGCACTAAGCGCCTACCTTAGTTTTAAGGAGCACACTACAACATGACATTTGATGATTAAACTGCGCTATGAGACGTACGCGGCGCCCCTGCGGTAGTGTAATCGGGTTCACGAGAGCGCCACTTTCCGTCCTCGACAGGCGGTGAGTAATCAGCGGAGATATTACGATGATTGATTAACTTACACTCAAGGCTTTCATACAGCACACCATGGTGTTGAGCGGTAGTGTAGGGTACTGGTGCCCCAATAAATATGATCCAAACACAGGTATTGTTTATATTTAATGACAAAGTTTTAGAAAACAAGGAAGTATATTGAAATAGGGAGTAACTAAATATTCTAATAGAATAGCAAATTTTTATTGTTCATATTTATTATTATATCGTTCATTACCAAGTGTTGCAGACTAATACCTTTGTGAGTTTAAAAATAAAATAAAATAATTATTAATAATTGGGTATCGAGCTGAAGAGCCGCATCTTGACATCAAAAGAGCCGCAGGTTGCCAACCCCTGATGTAGGTTATTATTCAGAATGTTTCACCTATTAAATTTAGATCTTCTATTAGTTTGAAAGGTGCGGTTTTATACCAACTCTGATTTCAAAAACTTTCGTTATGCTATAATATTTTAGCATTTATGATGACAAAATATTTAATTCTGATTGTAGACAACATATTTTTGTAAAAACAAATAGTATTAAGCTTATATATTACATACTAAAGTAATTATTGATCTGTTTTGACAATTACAATTAAATGTGTAAACATATACATTTCTATATTATGAGAGTGATTATTTCCCCTAGTTCGATTGTCTTATTTTTTACAAGTATTACAAAACAGATTGTGTTGCGTTCATTGCTGTTGGTTGTATTGCGTGTATATCTTGTTTGTTTTTTTGTTAAGAGTGATAAATTGTTTTGTTTTGTCAGCCTACATTGTGTGTTTTTTCTTATATCTTCAGAATACTACTTTCAATTTATTTTACTTCATCGCGAAGCAATGACATACAGCTAGTATATATATATATATATATATATATATATATATATATATATATATATATATATATATATGTATATAAAATGATGGAAAAAAATTGAACCCCTCCCCCTCCCCCATTGAGATGATCCTGGCTACGCCACTGAGTAGAATAGTATAGAATATAATATGAACTAACCGGTGTGTCATCAATCATTACCAATCCTTTTTCTTAGACATGTGTCCTTGTTTTCTAACACTGAGTTATTTAAATGTAAACAATGCCAGCGCTATATTTCTTAGATCATACTTGTTAGGGCATTCTCCATAAAAGTATGGTAGAACACACTTTGGCAACTACCCAGGTGTTAGAGATGGAAAGAGGCACTCTCTGCAGCCCTCAGTTACATTACTGCTTGGGCGCCTCATATGGCCCCGGCTGGGTTTAAATCACAGAATCTTTGTGCCATCGTGTCAATATTGACGGGTGCTTGTTAAAACTAATGTAGGCACCAAAGTGCTCACAGGATTACCCGGGCGCTAAATTGATACCCCACCTATTGCACTGTTTGCTCTCCCTCCCTCCCTACTCATGAATTTATCATGTGTCACCTTACCAGAATGTTCATTTACTTTAAGGCTGACAATGGCAGGATCAAGTCTTTCACTCTCTATGTCTTCCAGGATATTGAAACCAAAACATCTCTCAGTACGGGCCTAAAGAACAAAGACAAGTTTTTAAATGCACTGAAATTAAGAAAATAAAACGAATTTGATTTCTCTTATAAAAGCTTTTGTTGCATATGTGATCTCTTACAAATTTTAACGACCAAAGCTTTTATGAAAGAAAGCAAATTTGTTTTATTAACACGTTTTTCTTAACTCAGCTTCGCGTTTGTTTGTTTTGTTGTTTGGTTGTTTGGATGTTTGTTGTTAAAATTGACATCGAAAATTAGCCCACTTCTGATTGCTCTAGAGACCTGAAATTTGGCATGCATGCTACTTTCGCCTAACAATTTCAGATGCAATCATAAAAACTAGCAATTAGTGACCGTAATTAGCTTAATTTAATTACGCCCCAAGGACCATAAAATTGAGGACATGATTTCTAAAGATACCGACAAGACTTGAGGCCTATTGACACAGTTACTTCGGCCCCAATCGATGTGAGCGCGCTGGCCGTGATCGTATAGTGGTTAGTACTTCGCGTTGTGGCCGCGATAACCCAGGTTCGAATCCTGGTCGCTCAAGATTTTTAGTCCGTGTATTTATAAACACTTTTTTAAAAACCACATTTTTCATGTGTAGCAACGGACTAAAAAGGAGAACGGACACGGTAACACATTGTTAACAGTGACACGGTTGGTACGCTGGGCATGCTAAAATACACATAAACACGTTTTTCCTTAACTCAGCTTCGCGTTTATTTGTTTGTTTATGGGAGATTTGATCACGTGATTCGTGAGTAGATCTCTACGCCAGCAACGTGGATATACCGATATGCGATAGTAGACTTCTGAAAATAGTGATAGGTTTTTAGTATTGTAACATCGTCTAGGTCTAGCAAAACACTTAGTCAAGTCATACTTAATCAAGTCATTAGATAAAGTAGAAAATAAACTATATAAAAAACTTTTTAAAAACCACGTTTTTCATGTGTAGCAACGGACTAAAAAGGAGAAAATAAAATACTTAAAAAAAACTTTAAAAAAAACACGTTTTTCTTGTGGACTAAAAAGTAGAAAATAAATTTTCATACATTTGATGACAAAAAACGTGGGTCGGGCAGATGGGTCGGGAAATTTGATGGTGAACGTACCCACGTTTTTTGTCATCAAATGTATGAAAATTTATTTTCTACTTTTTAGTCCACAAGAAAAACGTGTTTTTTTTAAAGTTTTTTTTAAGTATTTTATTTTCTTATATTCAGTGCATTTAAATTAAATTAAAAGTTTGTATTAGACAGATGTTTTTATATTTGTTTTATTTTCTACTAAAAATATTTGCTATAAAACACCATCAGTAGATCATCTAAAAGAAAATTATCTGAATCAAGAAAAGCAGCCGTCCGTGACAACACTTTACAGACAACAGCAAGTTGATCAAGAGATAGGTAGTTCTTAATCTTGTTACTTCCCTTTAGTTTCAAATCGCTTAAAAATTCTATTATCTGCCCTTAATAACCTTTTCTAACTTGCCTGATAAAGTTTGTGTAAGTCTGACTAAGTTTGTGTCAGTCATCTACAAAAGTTGTAAGAGTTTAAAATAAATAGTTCTTTACCTCTTGAAACTGAATAGACACAACATCTTTCTCATCATCATAAGCAGCGTTAGTAATGAATTCGAGTTTGCTTAGCTGTAAAGTTAAGAGCAATATTAAAACTAAGAAGTAGATTCAACAAACAGGTTTTTATCTAATCAAACAATCGGTTATGTGACTTACTGCGGTTATGTTATTTAGGTGTGGTTTGAAACCTGTTAACATTTGAACATCCAGTATCAGTGATTCATAGTTTGGACCTTGCAGCTGTCTGGTGGAGGTTCAAGAAATTGGTTACAAGAAAAAATTTGCTTCAAAACTAAAAAGATTCTAGAACTATGAAGACACAATATGTGGATGCCACGTAATCAATACAGTGGTGGAGCTATAAAATAAAAAGCCCATGCCTGTAAACAAAATCTTCAGGCCCTAAGTGTTGTATGTATTTGAATTCCAAAACCTAAAAAGTTCAAACACCTACAGAACATCTCGCTGTAGATTAAACACCTACAGAACATCACGCTGTAGATAAAACACCTACAGAACATCACGCTGTAGATAAAACACCTACAGAACATCACGCTGTAGATAAAACACCTACAGAACAATTCGATGTAGATAAAACACCTACAGAACATCACGCTGTAGATAAAACACCTACAGAACATCACGCTGTAGATAAAACAACTACAGAACATCACGCTGTAGATAAAACACCTACAGAACATCACGCTGTAGATAAAATACCTACAGAACATCACGCTGTAGATAAAACACCTACAGAACAATTCGATGTAGATAAAGCACCTACAGAACATCACGCTGTAGATAAAACACCTACAGAACATCACGCTGTAGATAAAACACCTACAGAACATCACGCTGTAGATAAAACAACTACAGAACATCACGCTGTAGATAAAACAACTACAGAACATCACGCTCTAGATAAAACACCTACAGAACATCACGCTGTAGATAAAATACCTACAGAACATCACGCTGTAGATAAAACACCTACAGAACAATTCGATGTAGATAAAGCACCTACAGAACATCATGCTGTAGATAAAACACCTACAGAACATCACGCTGTAGATAAAACAACTACAGAACATCACTCTGTAGATAAAACACCTACAGAACATCACTCTGTAGATAAAACACCTACAGAACATCACGCTAGAGATAAAACACCTACAGAACATCACGCTGTAGATAAAACAACTACAGAACATCACGCTGTAGATAAAACACCTACAGAACATCACGCTGTAGATAAAACACCTACAGAACATCACGCTGTAGATAAAACACCTACGAAACATCAAGCCCTCGCTGTTCAATAAGCTCACAGCTTGTGTTATCCCCTGCCAGGTTTTTTCTACAGCTTTAGAGAACCAACCTGACACAGAAGTAGATTTTGTATCTCCGCCTGCTGTGAGTGACTGCAACAGCTGACCTCCCTTTCCTCTTCTTGTTCCCCCCTTTTCCCAGAGCAACCTGTTGTGGAGAGCTAGAATAAAAATTAAAATCTTAATAGATGTAAGCCTATAGGTTGGTTTTAAAAATTACAAAATGGCGACCCCTATAATTTAAAACAATTAAGATGGTATGACAATAAAAAGATAAAATTACCGGGTTTTGTTAATTATTGCAGGCTTCTTTTTCTTCTTAAGTTTTAGACTATTGGTTAACAAAGCTTTAGGGCTGTCTTGTTCACTGGAAATACAAATCCTCACAAATTTAAGCATTTAACCTACAGCATCTATTATATAATGCTGCTGGTAGTATGTCAGTCTGTCATCACACACCACATGGCACATGTCTGTGCATTTTAATTTGTTGCAGTGTCTTATTATAACTGTATAGGTAGGGTTTATTTATTTAACAACTTAAATTTCTAGTTAGTTTGTACTGTTTTTACTCTTTCGCATACCGTAAATAAAATATTAAATACAAGCACATTGCTAAAACATATTAAAGGGATCAATGTCAAATAATACTTTCGCTTAGATTAATAGAAAAATTGGATACATTTTAATAAAAGTAGGGTAAAAAAACGAATTAATTAAAATCTTTTATAACTTTGCCAAGGGAGGTAATTTGAAAAGAAATTCAACTCGCTGCAATAAATAAATGTGAATGCAACTTCTGCAGACGTGCAATAATACATTATTGTTAGAATATTATAATTAGCATGGATTGATAAAATGTACCGTGGTAGGTAAAATACGGATTTTATATTAAATATTGCCTTTTGTTTATTTTATGGAAGAGTTGGGGTATTATAGTCGTTTACTAAGTTGAATCAGGCGGTTCCGCCGGTGCCCCGGGTGCAAGTTAGCGTCCCAAGCTAGACTGTGAGATCTATGTATTTATGTTTGCATTTAAGTTGTGTTTATGTTATGCCTTTGTGTTTTTTTAATTTGTATTTATGTTTGCATTGTGTTTGTGTTTGTTTTTTCTTTTGTGTTTGCGTGCTGCATTTGTGTTTTTGTTTACGGTTTTTTAAATTTGCATTTACATTGGGTTTGTGTTGTGTTTGTGTTTTCTTTTGTTTTTGTGTTTTCTTTTGTGTTTGTATTGTGTTTGTGTTATGTTTGTGTTTTCTTTTGTGTTTGTGTTTAGTTTTGTTCTGTTCCCAAGTTGGTACATTTAAAAATGATTCATCATGGCGGAGCAAGAGTATGCAGCTAGTCTATAATATATAAGCTTCCAAGCAGTGTGTCAGTAATCACTTTAAATTTTAGAACCATAAAAGAATACAACACATGCCATGCTTTTTACTTGCATTGCAGTGTCTTATTATAAATACTGGAGCAGGGTCTATTTATATAACGACAAATTTTTTTAATGTTTGCAAAGTTTTAATTCTTTTTGCATATGTCAACAAACGAACGTAAAGAAAATATTAAATACACTCACATTACTAAAACTAAAATGGATCAATGTCAAATAATATTTTCACCTAGAAAGATGGATTCATTTTTATAAAGTAGGGTTGAATAAAACTAATCAATTAAAATGTTTATTAAAATGTTTAATAATTATGCCAGGGAAGGTAATTTAAAAAGAAATTCAACTCACGAGAAATATTGTTATTTAATTAAGTAAAAAAATGTGAATGCATATTGCATGGCCGTCCATGAGAGCATTATTGTTGAAATAATATAATTAGCATGGATTGATCAAGTGCAATGTGGTAGGTATAATACAGATATCTTCAATACTGTCTTTTATTTATTTTATACACTGAATGTATTGTTTACTAATTATTATTTTTAATCAATAACAGTTAAGAAGCTGCTCCTAAATGTCCTCTATATTTACATCTAGGTTTGCTGACAAGCTGGGGATATAATAGTTGTTTACTAAATTGTATCAGGCGCGTCTGCTGGCGCCCCGGCAGAGGTCGATTTGGCGCCCCCTGGGCTAGACTGTCAGCGCTATGGTGCATACTTTTGTTTTAAAGAGTGCGATAAGCTGTGGGTAAAAAGGGTTACTAACTTGTTCACTAAATCAAAACCGGGCGTACTCTTGTGCCCAACAGAGTGCGATTAGGGCCTCCCAGTGAGCGCTATGGCACCTACGTTCGTTAAAGTGAGTGCAATAAACTATGGGTAAGTTTGGGTAATATAATTGTTGTTTACTAAGTTGAATCAGGCGGTTCGGCGATTCGGCACCCCGGGCTAGACTGTCAATGTTATGATGTATGTTTGACCAGGCAATTTGGTGCGAATGAATGTTGGTGTGGGCATATGTTGAACAAGCGAAAGTGTGACGCGGTATGCAAGAATGTGACAATCCAGTGTAGGATCATTGTTAGCGGGGAAGAAGCTTATCCTTGTTGTCTTAGGGTGAGAGGTCGTGTATGTTGCCAAGTCTTAATATGGTTTGTGCAAGTTGTTGTATGTATTATTATGGTGCAATAAACAGTAGAGTTAATTAACGTAATCCTATAAAGTCATATTTCAACGTTGATGTCATCTTATTTGTCAGAACTCTATGGTGAATACTGAATTGGTTAGAGAGGAACTCGATGGTAGTATAAACCCTCTCACTTCATAGCTTCAGAATACATAGATTCCAGTTATAACAGTAAGCATTATGTTTTTATGTTACATATAAGTTTGTATTTATATCATGGGTTATTGTTTGCGTTTAGGTTTGCATTTGTGTTTTTCGTTTGCATTTACGGGTCATTAGTATTAGTGTTTGCATTTTCTTATGTGTTTGCGTTGTGTTTGAGTTTACATTTTCTTTTTCTTTTGTAATTGTGTTTGGTTTTGTTCTGTTCCCAAGTTGGTACATTTAAAAAATATTCACTGTGGCGGAGTACAGGTATGCAGCTAGTTTCTATATGCATGGAAATACTATCCTCACACATGTAAGCATTTAACTACAGCATTTACAGTCTCCCACTAAAACCCACAGGGTTGTTGATATTTCAAGATCATAATTTAACTTTTGTAGTTAAAAAATGTAAAGATTAAAATGAATGCATGCACCACACTTTATTCACTGAGCCTTGTGTAGTAGTTTTTGTTCAGCCTACATTTGGAGCATAAGAAATGTTTTGTTCAGCCTACATTTGGAGCATAAGAAATTTCTTGTTCAGCCTACATTTGGAGCATAAGAAATGTTTTGTTCAGCCTACATTTGGAGCATAAGAAATGTTTTGTTCAGCCTACATTTGGAGCATAAGAAATTTTTTGTTCAGCCTACATTTGGAGCATAAGAAATTTCTTGTTCAGCCTACATTTGGAGCATAAGAAATGTTTTGTTCAGCCTACATTTGGAGCATAAGAAATGTTTTGTTCAGCCTACATTTGGAGCATAAGAAATTTCTTGTTCAGCCTACATTTGGAGCATAAGAAATTTTTTACAATACATTAGCCACCTATAAGTATAATGGCAGGCCACTCAATGACCTATCAGGTTATATTTCTCTATATCAGGTTATATTTCTCTATATCAGGTTATGTTTCTCTATATCAGGTTATATTTCTCTATATCAGGTTATATTTCTCTATATCAGGTTATATTTCTCTATAGCAGGTTATGTTTCTCTATATCAGGTTATATTTCTCTATATCAGGTTTTATTTCTCTATATCAGGTTATATTTCTCTATAGCAGGTTATATTTCTCTATATCAGGTTATATTTCTCTATATCAGGTTATATTTCTCTATAGCAGGTTATGTTTCCCTATATCAGGTTATATTTCTCTATATCAGGTTTTATTTCTCTATATCAGGTTATATTTCTCTATATCAGGTTATATTTCTCTATATCAGGTTATATTTCTCTATATTAGGTTATATTTCTCTATATCAGGTTATATTTCTCTATAGCAGGTTATGTTTCTCTATATCAGGTTATATTTCTCTATATCAGGTTTTATTTCTCTATATCAGGTTATATTTCTCTATATCAGGTTATATTTCTCTATATCAGGTTATATTTCTCTATTGGAAGAATTCTATTCAATGAGCCTGTCAATAAATGTTCTCAGTGTGCTCAGTTGCAATCATTACGTCAAATGCAAAGTTGTATTCAACAATGCAAACACACCGTAAAGAAGAACTGAAATAAAAAGTTGAACCATTACCTTGAATAATCAGGATTTGTAACTTGAACAGAGATATTAAAGTCACAATGTTTATTGATGTTAACAGGAATATTGTAGTCAACAATGACATGCATCTGACCAAATCCTTTCCCCTCGTTGACCACTTTTAAAAGTTTTCCAACAGGCACCTGTATAGATAAGAGTGAGATTCACTAGGATCAGATCAACTCACTTGACGTGGTTTCACCATACATAGTTTGTCATAAACAGGGGATTGTCCACTGCAGGGGTTTGACCACAGGGGCTTAGGGTTAAGGTTAGGTTTGTCTATGACAATTTCCTGAAAGACAATTGCCTAAATGGACACTTGCCTGAATGGACACTTGGCCGAATACCGTTTGTCTCACTTGCCCAAATGCCATTTGCCTGAATAGACACAAATGTTCAATTGCCCTATTGGGACAAACACCAAATGGACACTTACCTGAACTCAAGGCTCAATTTAGCTGGACCTTTAAATTGACCACTAATGTCATTGATACTAGATTATTACAAGTTTAAATAAAGAAATGCTTGGGATTGCACTTCCAGTGAAATCTGGCTACAGGAAAGTTTATGAGAACACACAGAGGCAATATATGCTGTTTAAACAAAATATGAGATAAAATTACCACATTCTGAAGGTTTTTGGGAAATCAGAAATTAAGTATCACTTCTTTTTCTTCGTTCTTAATTTTAGTGTTGGCAGGGATTCCCTCCAACACAATTAAGTGTCAACTGGTTATGTGCCATATAAACCTGTTGACTCCAATTTCAACTTGCTTTTCTTTTTTGGAATAGCTTCCATAACATTTGTCCAACCAAGGGCAAACTAAAAGGCAGCAGTGGTTTGATTTTGGAGTTGTCTCTCCTTGAAGAGTTGCTGTTCCCAGCTATTGAGCCTTATCTGCTCGAGGGTTTGAACTTAAGACTGTTCTGTTGAGCAGCAATGAGCTTTAACGACTGGACCAGGCCGACTCACAGATTACTGGAAATGGTGCAAAAGGTGAAAGAAACCCGTGTATAAGAGAAAGTAAAATACAACCAACATTTTTCCGTGATCCTGGCTGGGTAGCATTATCCTTGGTAAACTTGAAGGAATGGATGTGATGAGCTTCCTTGTCTGAGCTGACGTTACAACTCAAGTCAACTTGAATCAAGGAGTTGTATTTCTTCAAGCTGTATTTTGTTAGGGCTTCAATGGCAACTGTGCTGTCCTGGGGAGTTGACACAAAAACTTCAACACACACTTTTATTTAGCACTTAAGGCATACGGTTAGGGTTTTAACAAAGAAGGCATACCTAGATCAACTCAATGTAGTACTTGACAAAGAAGGCATACCTAGATCAACTCAATGTAGTACTTGACAAAGAAGGCATACCTAGATCAACTCAATGTAGTACTTGACAAAGAAGGCATACCTAGATCAACTCAATGTAGTACTTGACAAAGAAGGCATACCTAGATCAACTCAATGTAGTACTTGACAAAGAAGGCATACCTAGATCAACTCAATGTAGTACTTGACAAAGAAGGCATACCTAGATCAACTCAATGTAGTACTTAACAAAGAAGGCATACCTAGATCAACTCAATGTAGTACTTGACAAAGAAGGCATACCTAGATCAACTCAATGTAGTACTTGACAAAGAAGGCATACCTAGATCAACTCAATGTAGTACTTAACAAAGAAGGCATACCTAGATCAACTCAATGTAGCACTTAACAAAGAAGGCATACCTGGATCAACTAGTCAATGTAGCACTTAACAAAGAAGGCATACCTAGATCAACTCAATGTAGTACTTGACAAAGAAGGCATACCTAGATCAACTCAATGTAGCACTTAACAAAGAAGGCATACCTGGATCAACTCAATGTAGCACTTAACAAAGAAGGCATACCTGGATCAACTCAATGTAGCACTTAACAAAGAAGGCATACCTGGATCAACTAGTCAATGTAGCACTTAACAAAGAAGGCATACCTAGATCAACTCAATGTAGCACTTAACAAAGAAGGCATACCTGGATCAACTAGTCAATGTAGCACTTAACAAAGAAGGCATACCTAGGTCAACAAAATGTAGCACTTAACAAAACAACTCAATGTAGTACTTACATTTTACAAATAAAACCTACCTAAATCAACTGAATATAGCACCACATTACCACAACCTAAACATAACACTTACTACAGTGCCAATAAAACCTACCTAAATCACCTGAATATATCACCACATTACCACAACCTAAACATAACACTTACTACAGTGCCAATAAAACCACCAGTTGGTTTTCTCTGGGCCACCAGCCATTCCCCAATGGAGTCAATGTTGACTTGAGTTTCATGCTCCAAGAAAACAAGCAGAGCATAGGCTGTAGCCTCCACAGAGGTGGCCTCAGCTTCTTCTTGGTACCAGAGTGAATGTTCAGTTCTCATTTTAACACTGTGCCAATACGTTTGACCTGAAAAATAATTGGGTTTTTATATGGCAAGTATAGGAATTTTTTATGACAATATTCACGTCTATTACAGTAATTTTGTTCAAACTTTCCAGATACATTCATCTCAAATAACAATGCAAAAATATATCATTTTTAATTTAGTTAGATTAGTTATTAAAATTAAATTTAAAAATTACTAAATTAATTTTAAAAAGTATAGATAACAAGGTTAAATACTAGCAATTACTGGATCAATGGGACAGCGTGGCCTAGCAGAGGAGTGCTAGACTGCTAGCCCAAAAGTCTTGAGTTCGAATCCGAGTTCAAGTTAGTGGAACGTGCTTGAGTACATCTAGCTTTCATGGGTACTTAACTCATGTTTGGGTAAGTAAAGGCAGCTGGACATAGTTGTGACCACAATATCACTTAATATGCTGAAGTCAAGAAACATATGAATTCTACTTCATCTGCCCATTGGATCACTAAGTCTACAGAGGAATCTTTACTTTTTTAAATTACTTGATGAGCTATCCCATGGCACTGAATTGTTTTTTTTCAAGGCTGGTCAGTTTTTTAAGTGAGCATTGACCGCAGACTAACTAGCTTTCTTTAACAGTAAGCTTTCTTTAACAAAAGCTTTCTTTAACAAAAGCTTTCTTTAACAAAAGCTTTCTTTAACAAAAGCTTTCTTTAACAAAAGCTTTCTTTAACAAAAGCTTTCTTCACTCATTACCTACACAACCTTTCAATCATATCAATGACAACAAATTAATCATGTATGTGCCAGCCTTTCAATCATATCAATGAAAACCTTTGAATCCAATAAATGCTAACCTTTTTTATCAATCCTCTTTTGTCTGAGTGTTTCAATAGCTGCCTTGGTAGAGTTTGCTTGTGGATTGAAGAGGTAGAGAGCGTATGTGACTTTAGCTAGGACCAGTGGTTGTGTGATCTTACCCAGGTTTTCCTCAATAAAATTGGCTGTGTAGGCCTGTAGAGTCACATAGTCTTCCTACACAATGGACAGTGAAGTATAATCATTAACACATCATTTTAAACAATTTAATCTATGTCAATGGTTTTTTATTCAAATACTCATTTTTTATTTGTTCATTGAAATCAACTAAAATAAATTTAAAAATTTAATTAGGGGCCTAATCAATGTCTTCAAATGAGTAGGCTAAGTCACAAAAATTTTGATAGAATAAAATGTTTTACCTTCTCTGATCTATTACACTAAATAAATGAGTAGGCTAAGTCACAAAAATTTTGATAGAATAAAACATTGTTTTACCTTCTCTGATCTATTACACTGAATAAATGAGTAGGCTAAGTCACAAAAATTTTGATAGAATAAAACATTGTTTTACCTTCTCTGATCTATTACACTGAATAAATGAGTAGGCTAAGTCACAAAAATTTTGATAGAATAAAATGTTGTACCTTCTCTGATCTATTACACTGAATAAATGAGTAGGCTAAGTCACACAAATTTTGATAGAATAAAACATTGTTTTACCTTCTCTGATCTATTACACTGAATAAATGCAATCAAAACTTCAGCTGCCAGCATCAGTCTAGAGTCCAAAGTCTCCTGAAACAAACAAATGTTGTTAACAATCAACTTTTTAGTGTAAAGTTGGTATAGAAATCTAGGTGTAAGTGACATTATTAGTTTAAAGTTGGTATAGAAATCTAGATGTGAAATCTTTTAGTTTTAAGTTGGTATAGAAATCTAGATGTGACATTATTAAAGTTGGTATAGAAATCGTCTAGCAGGTCTATACAACTTGACATAAGCTGTCTAGCAGGTCAATATAACTTGTCATGAGCTGTCTAGCAGGTCTATACAACTTGTCATAAGCTGTCTAGCAGGTCTATACAACTTGACATAAGCTGTCTAGCAGGTTTAAAAATATATGTTATTATTAGAAAACTATGAACAAACAATACCAGTTACCTTCTCTTGAAGTCTTGGGTTGTATTCTTTCATTGAACCATCTTGTTTGACATTTTTTAGAAGCCATTTGAATCCTTGATCCCTCAAATTTTGATCCACAAAAGTAAATGCTGAGGCATGACAAAGTGTTTTAAGCACAAGAACTGTTAACCTGTTGAAAAAATGATTGGAGTAATCTCCCATAATTTTTTTTCACATATTCATATATAACAGTAAGGGGGATGGCACTTTCATGAAATAATGATACAGAAATGTTTGTTACTGATTTTTTTAATACTTACATTTTTAAAAATAGAATAGAGAGTAGAAAAAGTAACTGCACACCAAACGGACATACAATAGAATCAAGGAGAAAAACTGATTGTAAACAATGTGTGCATAAAAGAATTAAAAATTAGTTCTTTATAAAGAAACTATGATTAATTTTAAAAAATTTATTAAACATCTAATTAAGTCACATTTATGTCACAGTGCGTTGTCATCAAGTCTTCATCATCATCATTCCTTTGTGGCCCCTGGGGAGCAAAGGGCTGCAACCACACATCTCCATCGGACTCGGTTTTGGGCTGTCCCCTTTATCTGTGCCCATGTGTGCCCAGCTGCTTTCGCCTCTTCTTCAACCGTTCTTCTCCATGTCTTCCTTGGCCGGCCCACCCTCCTTTTTCCTTGGGGATTCCAGTCTAAAGCATGCCTTGCGATGTTTTCTTTTTCCTTTCTTAATGTGTGTCCGATCCATCCCCATTTTCGGGCCTTGACATCTGTTTCTATTGGCTGTTGCTTTAAAGTTCGCCACAGGTCTTTGTTTGATATTTTGTCTGGCCATCTTATTTTAAATATGTGTCGTAAGCATTTGTTTACGAATGCCTGTAGCTTATCAGTATTTGTCTTCTTGACCCTCCAGGTCTCCGAGCTATAGAGTAGCATTGCCTTGACATTTGAGTTGAAAATACCAATTTTGAGTGACAGGGCCGTGGACCTCCACATCGGGCGCAGTGAGTTGAAGGCATAACTAGCCTTGTTGATACGACATTTTATGTCCTCATCTGCTCCCCCGTCCTTATTGATCAAGCTTCCCAGATATGTGAATGTGTTTGTTTTACGTAGATCTTCTCCATTTAGCTGTATGGGCAGGTCCTGGTTGTTATTGATTCTGATGACCTCTGTTTTATTTTTATTGATTTTTAGTCCAACTTTGGAGGCTTCTTCAGACAGCCGATTTAGTTTGGCTTGCGTGTGTTGGTGCTTGTGAGGTAGTAGGCAGATGTCATCAGCAAAATCAAGATCCTCCAACCTTTTTGTAAAACTCCACTGGATTCCTGTGTCGTTTTTTTGTGGTTTTCAGCATGATCCAGTCGATTACCATCAAGAATATCATTGGCGATAGCATACATCCCTGTCTTACTCCCGTCGTCAACATGAATGGTTTTGTTAGCTTTCCCTTGTGTATTACCTGACTGGTGGAGTCTTCATATAGTTTCTGTGTGATAGATATAAATTTTTTGGGTATTCCATAGTGGCTCATTAACTTCCAGATAGCATCTCTATTCACACTGTCAAACGCCTTTTCAAAGTCGACAAAAGTCAAGTAGAGGGAGGATTGCCACTCAAGGGACTGTTTGATAATGATGCGCAGCGTGGCAATTTGGTAAGTACATGACCTGTCTTGACGAAAACCAGCTTGTTCTTGTCTCAGCTTTTTGTCCAAGGCATCTCTAAGTCTCTCTAGGATGATTCTTGTCAGCACCTTACTTGGAACTGAAAGAAGCGTTATCCCTTTCCAGTTGTTGCATTGTGTCAGGTCTCCCGTCTTTGGCAGTTTGATCAGGTATCCCAGTTTCCAGTCAGATGGGATTATCTCTTCTTCCCAAATCTGCTTAAGTAGAGGATGTAGGGTCTGCTTTTAGTGCCTCTGGTGGGATGCCATCCGGGCCAGCTGCTTTGTCATTTTTCATGTTCTTTATTGCTCTTATTGTTTCAAACTTTGTGGGTGGAATATCAGGGATGTTTGATGAGAGAGGATGGTTTAAAATCTCATCAAAGTGCTGTACCCATCTGTCTCTCTGTTCTGTGTCACTTGTTAAGATATTTCCTACTTTATCCTTTACTGGTTTGTTGGGATTAATATTCTTGCCTGATAGGGTCCTGGTTACTTCATAGAGCCTCTTCATTTTTCCTTGTCGTGCTGCAGTTTCTGCCTCCGCTATCATCTCTTGTATGAACTGTCTTTTGTCTTCTTTTGCACTTTTCCTGACCATGCGATTTACTTCACAATAATGTGTTCTGAGGTTTATTTTCTCTTTTTCATCCTTACATTTGTTTATCTTTTGCTTTATCTCTTTTCTATCTTCAATTTTGGCCCATGTCTCTGTTGTGATCCATTCTTTTTGTTCATTTTTTCTTCTCCACAATATGTCAGTGCATGTTGACTTCCATAGTTCTTATATTCCTAGCCATTTTTGCTCTACTGTATCCTCTGCCAGGCTGGAGAGTGCTTCATACCTATTTTTTACTGCGCAGTTAAAGTCTTCCTTAATTTTTGGACACCTAAGAAATGTTGTATTGAATTTAAAGTGCGGCATATCAGCTCGATCCCTGTAGGATTTTAGTTTTAATTTTAGTATTGCAACCACGAGTTGGTGGTCTGAGGCTGCATCTGCACCTCGTTTGATAATTGTCCCCCCTATAATTAGATCATTAAATGCGCAGAAATCAGCAAAGAGTTCCCCGTTTTCATCTATTCCATCTTTCCCCATTGTGAGCTCACGATCTTTATTTTCTGTTCCAACTTTGGCATCACTATCTTTATATCTCTTTTTGGTGATTTGTCAATTTGAGCCTCTTTCTCTTCATCTGTTGCAGCCTTTGTGGGTGCATAGCATTGGATTAAAGTTGTTTTCCTTCCCTAGGCATTGAAACGAGCTGCTATGAGTCGTGGCGAGACTTGTTCCCATGCAATCAAAGCATTTGTTGCTGCTGGAGACATCATTATGGCTACACCTTGCGTGTGTTCATGATCTTCGTCCTCGTGACCTGAGTAGATGACAGTCTCTCCCGAGACCAACATAGTTTGGCCACTGCCGTTCCATCATGTCTCACTTAATCCTAGGACTTTTAATTTATACCTCCTCATTTCTTTGGCGACCTGGGCTGATCTGCTGCTTTCATTTAGGGTTCTGATGTTCCAGGTCCCTAATCTGGTTTTAGTCTTGGTCGTTAGGAGATTTGTCAGCAAACTAGCTTCCATTAGGGCGTTAGGAGATTTGTCAGCAAACTAGCTTCCGTTAGGCTTTCACTAGTAGGCATCATGGGCTCTTCTAGAGAGGATCCCCCATGACCAAGTTGGTGTTGGATTTGTGTACTTGCAGTTTCTGTAGCGGTATATTTTTTTTATGAGATAAGGTTGCTAGCCTTATGTTTCAACCCCCAACCTGGAGGACCAGGGTGTTAGCTTTGGTCTGATCCCTACCCGCGCAGACCTTCCCAGCTTGGTTGAACCTACCAGGAGTTTACACTCCCGCTGGTATAGCTCTGGGGGTGGTCAGGGTACACAAGCTGCCAAGCCACGACAAGGCTCTAACACCGGATGGCAGGTCATCAAGTCTTGACCTTCCTGAATTGTCTTGAAGAAACCGGTCAGAGAAAAGTAATCTGTTTTCAGATATGGGAAATAGCTTGGAGTAATACATTCGTTCAATGGAAATTATTGAAAATTTTAAACAATCAAAGGAATAAGATCTTGTACCTATGTTTAAAATCTCATCCTTATAGCTGAAACGATACTCAAGTTATCAATATTTTAGAAGGTCATTAAAAAAATTGAAAGTAATCGAGGTATAAAATCTTGTACTTATGTACGAAATTTCATTTAACTACCTGGAACAGTGCTCAAGTTATAGTAAAATATCATTTCTGGTTACCGGAAATCAATCAAATGTTGATATAGAAATTTGATAAAATACTTATACATGACATTTTGTCAATTTAGCTGAAGCAGTACTCAAGTTATCATGTTCACAGACAGACACACATACACACACTGACAAATGTACGAAGCCCAGATTTTACTGATGCGATGACAAGTAAAATGCCAAGCTTTAAAGTAGCAGTTTCTCAACTTTTTAGTCATGGCACATACTCTTTGTACAACTCAGAACCCTAAACTTATATATATATATATATATATATATATCCATATGCGTGAGCATGCCTGTCACGGTTGAGCCGGGACCAAATTGCTACCTGTAGGGGTACCGGCCAACGTACCTCATTCACACACATCTATGAAATAAGAGAGTAGGACATTAAAATACTGACCATGTAGCTGGCTTAGAATCCATTTGTGGCAGGAAAGCTGGTCCCTGCTTGTACTTCAAGAGTCTTGTTATACCTAGGAATAAAGGCATTAGATTGTCTTGTTATACCAGGAATAAAGACATTGGATTGTCTTGTTATACCTGAGAATAAAGGCATTGGATTTTCTTGTTATACCTGAGAATAAAGGCATTAGATTGTCTTGTTATACCTGAGAATAAAGACATTGGATTGTCTTGTTATACCTAGGAATAAAGGCATTAGATTGTCTTGTTATACCTAGGAATAAAGGCATTAGATTGTCTTGTTATACCAGGAATAAAGACATTGGATTGTCTTGTTATACCTGAGAATAAAGACATTAGATTGTCTTGTTATACCTGAGAATAAAGACATTAGATTGTCTTGTTATACCTGAGAATAAAGACATTAGATTGTCTTGTTATACCTAGGAATAAAGGCATTGGATTTTCTTGTTATACCTGAGAATAAAGGCATTGGATTGTCTTGTTATACCTGAGAATAAAGACATTAGATTGTCTTGTTATACCTAGGAATAAAGGCATTGGATTTTCTTGTTATACCTGAGAATAAAGACATTAGATTGTCTTGTTATACCTGGGAATAAAGGCATTGGATTGTCTTGTTATACCTGGGAATAAAGACATTGGATTGTCTTGTTATACCTGAGAATAAAGACATTGCATTGTCTTGTTACACCTGAGAATAAAGACATTGGATTGTCTTGTTATACCTGAGAATAAAGACATTAGATTGTCTTGTTATACCTGAGAATAAAGGCATTAGATTGTCTTGTTATACCTAGGAATAAAGGCATTAGATTGTCTTGTTATACCTGAGAATAAAGACATTAGATTGTCTTGTTACACCTGGGAATAAAGACATTAGATTGTCTTGTTATACCTGAGAATAAAGGCATTAGATTGTCTTGTTATACCTGAGAATAAAGACATTGGATTGTCTTGTTACACCTGAGAATAAAGGCATTAGATTGTCTTGTTATACCTGAGAATAAAGACATTAGATTGTCTTGTTATACCTGAGAATAAAGGCATTAGATTGTCTTGTTATACCTGAGAATAAAGACATTGGATTGTCTTGTTACACCTGGGAATAAAGACATTAGATTGTCTTGTTATACCTGAGAATAAAGACATTAGATTGTCTTGTTATACCTGAGAATAAAGACATTGGATTGTCTTGTTACACCTGGGAATAAAGACATTAGATTGTCTTGTTAAACCTGAGAATAAAGACATTGGATTGTCTTGTTATACCTAGGAATAAAGGCATTGGATTGTCTTGTTATACCAGGAATAAAGACATAAGATTGTCTTGTTATACCTGAGAATAAAGACATTGGATTGTCTTGTTATACCTAGGAATAAAGGCATTAGATTGTCTTGTTATACCTGAGAATAAAGACATTGGATTGTCTTGTTACACCTGAGAATAAAGGCATTAGATTGTCTTGTTATACCTGAGAATAAAGACATTAGATTGTCTTGTTATACCTGAGTATAAAGGCATTAGATTGTCTTGTTATACCTGAGAATAAAGACATTGGATTGTCTTGTTACACCTGGGAATAAAGACATTAGATTGTCTTGTTATACCTGAGAATAAAGACATTAGATTGTCTTGTTATACCTGAGAATAAAGACATTGGATTGTCTTGTTACACCTGGGAATAAAGACATTAGATTGTCTTGTTAAACCTGAGAATAAAGACATTGGATTGTCTTGTTATACCTAGGAATAAAGGCATTGGATTGTCTTGTTATACCAGGAATAAAGACATAAGATTGTCTTGTTATACCTGAGAATAAAGACATTGGATTGTCTTGTTATACCTAGGAATAAAGGCATTGGATTTTCTTGTTATACCTGGGAATAAAGACATTAGATTGTCTTGTTATACCTGAGAATAAAGACATTAGATTGTCTTGTTATACCTGAGAATAAAGACATTGGATTGTCTTGTTACACCTGGGAATAAAGACATTAGATTGTCTTGTTAAACCTGAGAATAAAGACATTGGATTGTCTTGTTATACCTAGGAATAAAGGCATTGGATTGTCTTGTTATACCAGGAATAAAGACATAAGATTGTCTTGTTATACCTGAGAATAAAGACATTGGATTGTCTTGTTATACCTAGGAATAAAGGCATTGGATTTTCTTGTTATACCTGAGAATAAAGGCATTCGATTGTCTTGTTACACCTGGGAATAAAGACATTAGATTGTCTTGTTATACCTGAGAATAAAGACATTAGATTGTCTTGTTATACCTGAGAATAAAGACATTGGATTGTCTTGTTACACCTGGGAATAAAGACATTAGATTGTCTTGTTAAACCTGAGAATAAAGACATTGGATTGTCTTGTTATACCTAGGAATAAAGGCATTGGATTGTCTTGTTATACCAGGAATAAAGACATTAGATTGTCTTGTTATACCTGAGAATAAAGACATTGGATTGTCTTGTTATACCTAGGAATAAAGGCATTGGATTTTCTTGTTATACCTGAGAATAAAGACATTGGATTGTCTTGTTATACCTAGGAATAAAGGCATTGGATTTTCTTGTTATACCTGAGAATAAAGGAACTAGATAGAAGAGTTTTCTTAGTTACAGTTGTTAGGAACAAAAGTATGCTAAAGAATGGAACACATAATTTTTCTAGTTGGTCTATGTGTGCTTGACCACCAGAACAATTTACATTATAGTTAGACATCATTTTTCTAAATGCTGTGTCACCAGAGGCAAGATTCTAACAACATCAACTATCTAAATCAATGGAGGACCTCTAACAACATCAACTATCTACAACATCAACTATCTAAATCAATGGAGGACCTCTAACAACATCAACTATCTAAATCAATGGAGGACCTCTAACAACATCAACTATCTACATCAATGGAGGACCTCTAACAACATCAACTATTTAAATAAACAATTTACCAATGTGGACTGGTAGAGGGGGGGGGTTGAGGTCAATTTGACTCAATATCAAAGTGCTTATATTTAAACAAAAAAGTTGCAAATAAAATAAAAGAATTAAAGCGGCAGTTCTCGTGTTAAAAAACAACAGCTAAACAGAGGGGGGGGGGGGGGGGGGAATTAGGACAACACTGGCAGAAACAATATTCTGGAAGAATTCAGTGTATTTCAAGTTATCTCCATACATTTCAAAGAACTGAATCATAAATTTAAAAAAATTAGTCTAGACCTAGGCCATGATGGATCATGATTGACTGTTTGGTATGGCAAAAAACATTTAAATAAACCAAGCACTTAAGGGGAAATGTGCTTTTTTTTCTATTTTTTACAATTTAAAATCTAAAGCCTTTAGAATACTTTTGTCATGTTTCACACATGAAAATAAGTATTAAACAGCAAAAAAAGGAGTCAAAAATAATTTTGGTTGTCATGGAAACCCAAAAAAACCTCCGCCATTGTGAATTTTTCGGTACTTCAAATTTAAACTTCTTATATTTCAGTAAATATTAAAACTTTTGTCATGATAACTTTTTGAAATAGCTACTAGTAAGTATTTTACAAGGTCTAAAAAATCGTACCCTTTTTAGTGTTTATTTGGTACATAATTTGCATATTAAGTACCACATTTTTTTTTCTATGATAGCCATCACAATTCCCTTGTGACAAAAGTTTTATTTTTGCATGAAGAACAATTACTGAAAATATGGTGGTCATTGTTTAATATATAAAAAGGTAGTAGGCTTTTTAGTGTTAAAAACCTGCGAACTGAGAAAAACAGCAAAAAGTAACAAAAAGTAGGTCACGAGAATACCATATATGTGTAAACTGCAAAGCGGATTGTAAGCTTTGGGTGTTTCCAAAATGATGGAAATTAGGATAATGAAACAAATGATAAGTCGAGCTTTTCAATGATGCCAAATATAATATGATGGCTGATATAAAACTTTTGTTAGAAAGCTTTTTAGATGGGGAAAAATTGACTATTTTTTAATTAATAGGGTCATAAAAATGGTAATTTAAACACAAACCTTTTTTTTTCTCATAAAAGTAATTAATTTCTTAATATAAAAATGGACAAAGTATCCAAAAGTGCAAGAAACCCAGCATGACGAAAAACAAGAAATTTAGTGATTTTTTTACAGCGCATATCCCCTTAACATATAGGGCCTAATTTAAACTAAATCATTTAATATATGAATTTTTTCATAACTTTATGGGCTCTACTTTTAATATTTAGACCTAGATCTAGAAAAAAAGGTTACTGAAAATATTACATCCCTATATTGAATTAGTAGCATAGCAAGGAACACATTACATGTTGTTGAATTAGTAATTTGTCAGCATGGTTTGTGGATGTCCACATAGGAGGGGATGGGGAGGGGGGGGTTTAAAATTCCAAATTCATTTGGATATCATAAATGGATAAGCATGACATAAACATGACATAAGCATGACATGAGCATAAACATATTTACCATATCTGATAAAACGTCGACCTTTTGATTTTAATTTTTCATCCATGAGATGAGTTTGGTCTAAGTAAATAAGGGCATGAACAGTTGGTCCCAGATCATTTAGAACTCCTTCAGCACTGCTAAACAGGTTGGTCTTCAGAGTTTTGGATTGAACAACAGTGTGAGTGATGATGTCACCCATTAGATCTCCTGTTGAAGGGAAATATATTACTAGATACTTTCATAAAGGAAATTATAGTCTGTAAGAATGGCCTTACATGTCAGCCATTTGAACCAGTACAGTCATGTAAATAGGACATACCAAATGCAGATATTCTACAAAACTCAGTGCCTGGTATAACTTCCTGTGGCATGGCTAAATCTATTGTTGTCGTTTGTTGCTTCTTTTTGGTATCAAACACATCTGAAACAAAAATTAGCACACATCTTAATCTTGCCTTCAGCAAGTTAACCAACATTAGACATTCATCTAAACACCACTGTAAAACATTCAGCTATGTAACATAGACTGTAA